TTAACGCCACTTTTAAGCGCCACATTTGGGCTATTTCGTGGCGGTCAGTTTTTATAGGTGGAGGAAGCCGGAGTGCCCGGAGAAAACCACCGACCTTCGATAGGAAAACTGACAATCCTAGTCAATTAAGATTGGAGTCGAATGCACCCGCACGAGCGGGGTTCGAACTCACAACCTCAGTGTTGACTGGCTAGTGATTACAGTAGTAGAACTACTTAGACCACTTGGCCACCGAGGCCCCTATTAAGACTATACAATTTACTTATTTTTGCATGATAAGTTTGGGTGACATCTGTTACACAATTGCCCTGCTTTTAGACATCCACATTTTAAAAAACCTTGTCCATCACAAATGGAAGAGAGTTTAACTGCTTGTCGAATAGGTATGAAATTGTCAATAGATACAGCTGACAGACTCAAAAACAATAAATCAATGGGTTCAACCTGGTTTCTAGTGTATGACCCTAACAAAATGCCATGTTTGGTAACAACACTATGTTGTACATATCTGTCTTCATGACATACATAATACTTGATATCTTCATCGATGAATACCGTTTTTTTTCTCTCTACATTGAAGAACTTCATTCCTACATTAAACAAATATTTACTTTTAATTTGGTTTGGATCTAAATAGTGGAGAAAGTAAAGAAACGTATTTAAAGTTTTATCTGAGATACGATCGAAGTAAGAAATGCGTTTTGTACAAAACAAAGTATTTTTACCTATACCTATCTGTTGTCTTTTTATTTGCTATTATTATTTTGTGGATATAAATGTCTTTTATAGGTTGCAAATTAACAATACAACAATTATTTGCTTTTTATTTATCCATTTTCATGTCACAATAAGATACTCTCGTCCTGATATGCATGTAATATTTGCCACTGGATCCCATGGCCTTAACCAATCAATTTCTTACTCTTTCCATGTGATTTTTTTTTCTTCTCTCATAACTGCAATCACCCCAATTATATTTGATTATAAAATTTGATATAATTCTTTTATACTTTTCAGTAATTACAGAAGCACTATATAATAAACTTTAACTTAGTTTCGCAAAGAAATTATAAGAGCTTGTTTTGTCTTCTCTCTGTGGCTTTTTAGCAATGGGTTTGTGAAATTTCCCGGTTCCATAAGTTGGATTTAAAATTTTCCCTCAATTATTTGAAGTAACAGTTGTGTTTAAGTTTGCTCTTGATTTAAAGACATGTGTGTCTGAGCCATTTTTACCAGTATGGCAGTTGTTTAATTAAAATTGCTAACTTAGTATTAATATAAAAGGCTAACTTGATTAATCTCAAACTTGTTGAGTGTAACTGCTGTAGACTTTTTTTTAAAGAATTCTTTAATCAAAAGCAACTATTTCTTTTTTACAAATTCACTGAATTTAATCAGGGAATCTGTAAAAAAGATCTTAATTATTTCAGTGATTTTGTAAAATCCCTAGTCAACATCAGGGATTTTATAAAATCCCTAGTCAACATCAGGGATTTTATAAAATCACTAATCAGTTCAGTGAAATTTCAGGGATTTTATAAAATCCCTGATTTTACAAATTCACTGTAACATATACACAAAAATAACAACAATATCCAGCCAAAAAAAAAAAAGACTTACGAGACACTGATCCTTAAAACCAAAATATATACAAAAATATACTATATTTAAACTTGTTATTAATCATGTAAACTTTTAACTTAAAATGGGGCGAGTCACGATAAAAATAAATAAATCTAAAATGAATAAAAATATATATCAACTACAAAATATTATAAAATGAACAGAATTGGGTAAAAATTCGATAAATTAAAGCATTAATAATTTATTTTAGGAAAATATACCTGTAAAAATAGTTTTCTACACAAATAAAATTTATGTAAAATTTGCAAAAATAATACTGGATATTGGGAAAATTCATAATTTCAATAAATTTTCTGTTTATATCAAGATCTTGAAAATCTTCGATTAGTTTTGAGCATTCATTAAAGAGTTTGTCTTCATATAATGAGCATTCAATTAGAAAGTGTTTTTCTGTTTCAACGCTGTTGGATTCGCACAACGCATTTATTCTGTTCTATGAGTGTAGGCGGCCTGGGGTATCTTCCTGTGTCATATGCAAGTGGAAGTGAACCGGAGCGAAACAGAGCCATGTACCGGTACATCGCTCATATTTTAAAATGTTCAGCCAGACGTAATCTTCGGTTTTCACACAATGTTTGTATTGCCTATAAGTACGTAATTTGTTTCCGTTCTGTGATTTACTTCGATCATTGAAAACTTCCTCATGCCATTCCGTGTTATCTAATACGGTTAATTTTTCGCAAATTGTACGCATCACAGTTTTTGTGGATAAGGATAAATTATACACAAGATCTCTCACATTTAACAACAGTTTTTTGGGGTTTTTTTCACTTGGAAAGCCCAGTCTTTTCTATACCTTGATGTCCATTCAAGTATCTTGTTACAGTTTCTGTCTTGGTCAGAGCGTAAAAGTCTACACAGAAGTCTACATTAATTAAATCGCTGTTAAGTAAAGCACGACGCCCAGCCCATATCGCCGCGTGACGCTAAACTAGACGTTCGTTTTCCGACGGACAAAAAGAATTTACAGGCCCTGTTTTGAACTGTAGATATAACACTAAACGTTTAGTGCCTCAAATACCACTACCATAAAGAAGAACTGGCTCCACCATTGATGTATATAGTTTGGTATAAACCTTATACGTCATTCCACCTAACTAGACACACCCGTAGCCAAGGGGGGGGGGGGGGGGGGGGGTTCGTACGACCCCCCCTTTTGCAAACAAATAAGCACGTTCTGTTTGAATTGTAACTGTTAAAGTTGAGTACGATTGTATCGAACCCCCCTTGGAAATATACGCCTTTGTCATCAACGCTCCAAGGGCACGACTCGACGCTTTTGATAGTTCCGTTACATGTTTTTTAAATGTCAAGTACTCGTCCATTCAGACACCTAAGTATTTGTAAGACTCACAGTAATCAAGATTATTGCCTGAACAATTGAAAATCCGATCTGACCTTGCAATTGATTGATTTCGGAAAAGTACTATTTCAGTTTTGTTAATGTTAATTGAAAGTTTCCATGTAGCGCACCAGTCCGACACGACCTCTAGCATTCGTTGGAAACTATTTTCGTCGGGTGCGATCAATGCTATATCGTCTGCATATAAAAAATACTTAAATAAAAATCGTCAACCTTCACTCCACATTCTAAAGAGTTTATGCGGTCCGCTAAGACATTTATATAAATAGAAAACAATCAATGTCGGTGAAAGAATACATCCCTGTTTCACTCCAGCTTCAACGCTGAACCTCTGGGTAAGGTCATTATTCACACGAACGGTACATTTTACATCATCATACGTTGCAGTTTGTACCATAAAAGGTTATGCTCAACCGTATAAAAGACTTTCCTCATGTCAACGAAACACGTAAACAGGTATTAACCAATTTTATCAACAGTATACACATGGCAGTATTCATCCGTGTTCGTTCAGAAAGTCGTGTATAGGATACATAAGACTTTGCAACCGAAAACATAAATCCCCCTCTAAAAGAGGCCGTTTTTTGTTGTAAAAATATCTTAACAACAACAGTGCATATTCTTGGTATACATATATGTCAAGAATATTGTCACTGGTAACGATATCTAACATAAAATAAAATATAAAAATTTGAAAGAAGTTAAACCACTCAAGATTCTCATCAAGAGAGAAACAAGAGACACATATTAAATTTTAATTGAAAATAAATTAGATAATAATGATGAAAAAAGGTCTGGTCTGTACGTTTCCGTAACTAGAGTTTTTTTATGTGACGAGATAGTTAGTCTTGTGCTCAACCCCCTAACCTGGAGGGCCAGTGGATTTATGGTTGATGTTCCTTTCATGATTGGTATCAGGGTTGTCTCTCCTAGATGGATTGCCTTGGTGGGCTATCGACCCCCATCTGACCGACTATTTACCCATAGCTGGGACAAGGTTGGTGAATGCTAGGGCATATCCACACACCGGTGGGCCGCTACACACTGCATCGATGGGGCCCTTGAAGTTACTTTTATACAAAAACATAAAACTGAAGTCTTTGTTAAGATGAAGTATTTTACTTATTACGGTACCACGATTTTATTATAAGAAATTGTTTTACCAAACTCCGTATATGCGACCACAAATATGATTTTTGAAAAGTGCAGATATTTATAAATCCCTCGAGAAGATAGACTTTGCAAACTATGCCATGTTCTTGAAAACGAGGAACATTTCCTTTTGGGGTAAGTATAAATAATGTATTAAGGTTGGTTCTATTTAAAAAGTTAAAATGGGAAGACGAATCTATGCCACTTCCAAAAGACAAAAAAGAACTGAGGACAGAAGCAGCATAATGTTTCATGTTTTTTATGTTCAATTTATATTGCATTGTTTTCGTAACGAACAGTTTTAATTTGTTTTAAAAATGACAATAACGATTATTATTATTATTATTATTATTATTATTATTATTATTATTATTATTATTATTATTATTATTATTAACTGAAATAAGTTATATTTTATTTTTTTTTATCTTGTTAACCGCATTTATGATTTCTTTCTTGTAATCTATTGAAATGTAACTAATTTTATGATTTTAATTGATAATTTATTTCAAATAAAGTAAATACAATCGTATATCTTAATTAAATTCTTCTATCGGTCCGAAATTGTCATAGGCCGAGTTTGTGAGACCGATTTTGTTATAGTCCGAGATTGTTATGAGCGAGTTATCTCCTTAGGGAGTCTTGTCATTAATGCAACACTTACTGAAATTAATTTGTCGTCGTAATCATTACTTCAAAATATGAGGTGGATTTCTTTTCGTTACGAAAAATTATCCAAAAGATAATAACATATCAAAAGTTCTAAAAACACTAGCTCTTTATTTTTTTTAACTCTAGGTTCGGGATCGTACTAATTGTTTTGTTTTTGTCGTTATCGTAAGCGGTATGAAATGGTGACAACTGTAAACTGGTAAACAAGATTTGACAAGACCAATTTAAATGCAATAATTATCTTGCATCTACCATGCTACTCTCAGCTCCAGAGAAGAGAAAAAAGACAATTAGTACCACGCATTCGGCTTTTGGAAAACCTTCAAGAAGTCCAAGAACACAAACCCCTTCTTCGTTGACTTATTCTTCTTATTCGTATTCAGATACCTTTGAAAATGCAACTCAAAGTGTTAACTACTCAGATACTTTTGAAACTGAATCTAAAGCCGAACCAACAACAATAAAAACAGCAAAATTTTCCACCATTTTAACAGAACTTGAGGGTGACTTCAAGACCACAAAAGATCTAACCAACCAAAGACTGTCAGAATCATTTCCAACCTACTCGGATACATTTGAATCTGATGGGTTTGAATCTCATCCAAAGTCAGATGATGATTCTTACCAAAGTAGAGAGAGTAAATATACAGAAACTGAATCCAACTATACTGATACAGATTCTAAATATACTTCTGATGAAACGCAGTCATATGGAACAAGAACACTAGAGTCCGTTGCAGAGAGGTAGCTAATTAAATATTTCATTAATTGTAGTATATTATTACTTTGTTTTACCCTGCTACTGCAACTGTTTTGGAAAGAATGTCATCCTGTACACAGTATTTTATATTTAAGTTCATGTTGTGTAAAGAATTTAGGGAAACACAGACATTTTCTGAGGTCATATTTTCATTTTGACTTTATACTGTTATTCATTTAATTTAAGGAATAAGAAATGATTTATGTCATATATGTAAGTCTGTGAGTCTACGATAAATATACAATATGTAGACATGATAGATATATTGAGAAATTTATCACGCTGTTCAACTTTTTACGAAAGAAGCATCTCAAATAATTTAAACTGGTACAGCTATTTTCAGGAAAATATATATATATATAATAAACCCAGAATATCTTATTTTACGTAATACATATTATTCTGAGACTTATTTATATAAAAGACAATATCTTGCAATGTCAGCAAAAATAGCTCATACTACATGTACATGTAACTTGAGGGATGTCAGTTTAAACTGACATTTCATTTTTTATCCTAATACATGTAATTACTAGCTTTCTAATAAAAATGAAAATAACACTTTATAAATTTGATGCTTTCGAAGTACTAGTGCTAATTCATGCTATTTGGATTAACATTCATCAGGAAAGCTCAAAACTAAACACATACATATATAAAAACCAGAGATGAATAAAATTTAATATGTTGAACAGTAGGCGCTACACATGTACATGTACATAACCAAGAGGGACTAAAAAAGAATAGCCGAAATTTGTCCATGATGACCTGCATAGTTGTTTACATCCTTTTTTTTGGGGGGGCCTTTTGGAGGATAGTCACTCTTTGGCAATCATACCACATTTCCTAATTTTTATACCTAATAAAATTGAGAATGGAAACGGGGAATGTGGCAAAGAGACAACAACTCGACCAAAGAGCAGAAAACAGCCCAAGGCCACCAATGGGTCTTCAACACAGCGAGAAAATCCTGCACCACTGGAGGAGGGCTTCAGCTGGCCCCTAAACAAAACTGTATACTAGTACAGCAAAAATGGACGTCACACTAAACTCCAAACATATAACATGTATAAATCAGTGTTCTAGCCAGGATTTGAAAAGGGCAGGGTGCTAGTTAGAAAAAGGGCAATTTTGCACGTAAATGTCATTGAAAAAAGGGCAATTATTTAAGCCTCATAATTTATAAGCATACGTCATAAAATACATATGTACCATGTGTACATAACATTACAAACAAAATACTCTATATAACTCAGGGACTATGGTAAAATCAAGTTTAAGTTAAAATGGAGTAATAAAATTCAATACTTTTGGCACAATTGTGAAAATAATGATTTAAAATTTATTTGGACTTAATTAAGTTCTCAGTTTAATTCTAATCACGAAAACAATTAAGTTCTCAGTTTAATTCTAATCATGTAATCGATCGATAGTCAAAGTAAACACTTTTTATGCAAATTTTTATTCTTATTAGTTATAGATGGCGCGTTATGCATTGTCAACAAGGAAGAAAAATGGGGATGAACATTTCAACAAATCCGAGAAAAAGCAAATTTCGCAATAGGGCCCAGAGAAACGGCAGACACGGCTTCACCAAAAAGGACACAGCATCAATAAAAAAGGGCGGGCGCTGCGCCTTGTTCAAACTTTGTAGCTAGAACACTGTAAATGATGTCATTGTTTATAAGATAAAATTGAGAATGGAAATGGGGAATGTGTCAAAGAGACAACAACCCGACCATAGAACAGACAACAGCAGAAGGTCACCAACAGGTCTTCAATGCAGCGAGAAATTCCCGCACCTGGAGGCGTCCTTCAGCTGGCCCTAAACAAATATATATACTAGTTCAGTGATAATGAATGCCATACTAAACTCCAAATTGTACACAAGAAACTAAAATTTAAAATAATACAAGACTAACAAAAACTAGAGGCTCCTGACTTGGGACAGGCGCAAAAATACGGCGGGGTTAAACATGTTTATGAGATCTCAACCCTCCCCCTATACCTCTAGCCAATGTAGAAAAGTAAATGCATAACAATACGCACATTAAAATTCAGTTCAAGAGAAGTCTGAGTCTGATGTCAGAAGATGTAACCAAAGAAAATAAACAAAATGACAATAATACATAAATAACAACAGACTACTAGCAGTTAACTGACATGCCAGCTCCAGACTTCAATTAAACTGATTGAAAGATTATGTCTTCATCATATGAATATCAGGCACAATCCTTCCCGTTAGGGGTTTAGTATCATACCATCATAACATATATGAGAAGAACATAACCCGTGTCATGCCAACAACTGGTTTTTAAATAAATGTGTTTAGTGCCGATGCAAAGACCCTATAAGTGAATCAATATTAACGCCAAAATATGCAATCTTTAATGACCTGACAACAGTATCGTAACTATATCCCTTCTTAATAAGTCTATTTAAAGGTTTTGTTAGCTTCAGAGGTGATTACTGACATTTTTGTGCTTTATAAAGAATATTTCCATAAAAAATTGGATGTGAAATACCTGAACGTATAAGAAGTCTGCATGTTGAGCTATATTTACGAATGATGTCCTTATACCGATGATAAAATTTAGTAAATGTTTTGCCTAGTTCATGTAGTTTGTGATATCGAAAACCCTGGTGTAATAATTTTTCAGTAATACATAAATTTCTCTCGTTAAAATAAGATACATGTATTTCAGTACAACTCCCAGATATTCCAGTGATGACTTTGAAGATGATGAGCCTTACAGTTACAGTGAAAGTTATGAATACTCTTCAACATTTGAACCAGAAGATGAAATGTCTAGCCTTGTTACAGATCCAGAAACGGTATGGTGATAATTGATATCCACACAGTCACTGTACTAATTTAAATGATTGCTACAGATCATGCAGATGGGCATATCATATAAGCTCATGGTGCAACTGTTTATGTTAATTGTCCCCAGCGCAACATGTTGTGGGGGAAACAGAAATACCAGGCGTCCGTCTGTCTGTCGGTCCATCCGGTCTTGTTAGCACTCTCACGTGTACAATTCTTGCCAGAATTTTATGAAACTTATATCCTAGGTTTAAATCAGCAATGTCTTGAACAAATTTTGAAAATCAGTGCTGATCAATTATTTTTAAAAGAGTTATGCCCTTTGAAAAAGTGATTGTATGGAAAATTGCATTGTAAGTGCTCTCACATACAATTTTTGCCAGATTTTTATTAAATTCAAATCAAAGGTATATAACAGCAATATCTCAGACAATTTCAAAAATAAGTGCTGATCAAATATTTTTAATGAGTTTCCTTTGGAAGTACAGTACATTTGGAGACTTACTACGACGATAGTCGGACATCTTAGCTGTCTGTCATCTCATCTCGGACATATGTCCGACAGTCATAAATCAATTATTTGTCAGGTACAGCTACCTACATGAGCCCTTTCATCCTTAACCGACACTAAAGACCAGCACGTGTTAATCGATCTGTTACGGTTGAACGCTTTTTATCTACCTGTGTTAACCAGGTAATGGTTTTTAAACATGATCATTATCTTTTCTGATGCAATTGACGGAAAATGATATAGATGTATTGTAACTTTATTACAATATATTTTAGTTTTGTCGTGTGATAATTTGTTTTTCTTTTTTTTCTGTTGGTAACACTTTTAATTGTTTTCTATCTTGAATTTTTTTTATTTAATTCGTACTCTTTAACTTCATGAACTAAATGTACTTAATGTCTTTTTACGTTTTATACCAATAATAAAGGCGATTTTGTTTTGCTAATTTATATTTTGGAAAGTACACAATAAATTATGTCCATGAAATCTATTATTCATGAATTAGCCAGACTCTATTAACTATAACCGTGGGAAAATTACGGAAATATATATACATTGAAATTGGTGCTGACTATTCTAAAATTTTAAACTAATGGATTTTATAAATTTCAACTTAAATATTAAGAATTCGACATATTTATCTCAATTAAAAAGACAATTTAAAAACATTACTTTCGTGGTCTATAAATCACCTCAATGTAGATTATTAAATCAGAATTTTGTTAATTCGGGATGAAAATATAGATTGACTCGTGTAAATAATTTAATGTCCATTTGAATAGATGGAAATAAACCATCATAGTTAAAAATGTCAAATCTAACTTTTACTTAACTTGTACTTTTGCTGTCCTTGAATTTTACGATTGCATACCATGCATATATTATAATAAAACCAAGGTGTTCAATTGACACAAGTTGTCGATCCCCACATAATTAATTTTATGACTGGATGTAGAACAAAAACATCGTAGTATTGTAATCCTATAATAAATAGGTGAATTTCTTTTTATACAATGTGTACCGGTAATGTTTGCGATGTTGCAAAAAAGTCGCTGGAATTGTGCTTCTGATCAAAATAATAGTTATATTAATATATTGTACATGTTTTGTATCGTTTTCTTTGTAAATTTAAAACCAGAATTTAATTGGCCTTTTTTGTATTGGTTTTTTTCTCGGAAATACAATAAAATTGAGAATGGAAATGGGGAATGTGTCAAAGAGACAACAACCCGACCACAGAACAGACAACAACAGAAGGTCACCAATAGGTTGTTTGAATAATTTTATTGTGGTTTTCGATTGAATTGACTCAAAATGCAGAATGGTAAGAATATGGATGAGAATATGATTTTTTCCACCAAAATTCGTAATCAAAACCAACTGAAAAACCTTAATTATCAACACCAACAATAAAGAGATTGAAACTTGTCCTGAATATACGAAACTTGCCACTGGACGTCAAACAATCATCTATCCATTAACAAAGTCTATATTTTTATTAACTAGAAAAAACAATGTATGGTTATATCATAATTTATTTTACCTCTAAAAATCAAATATTTAATCATCAATATTAAAATTACACAATAAAAAATCATCAATTGTCATCAATATACACAAATGTCATTTACTTCTTCTGTTGGATGGGCCTACGAAGAAACTGGTTGATTTTCTCAATCACCATAGCGGTGTATGCTGATTCCGAAGTCACACTTGGGTAGAATGCAGTTACATAGCATCGTAGATATTGTTTTCTTTTGTCGTCTAGTGGTCTTTTGCTCAACTTTCCACCGCCTCCATAGGAAAAATACACCCTAAGATTGTCTGTAGTAAAGAGTTCTTGAAACAAATACTTCAATAACGAAACGGCAAAAGCTCCAGGTGTTGTCGAGCTGCTTGCTGCTTGGTTCAGGTCATTTTCTGACAGACGAACTCCATCTGGAATGTCCGTGAATAGGTGCATAGGTACAGATCTTATTGTTGTAGGTGCTGTTGGAGTTGTAGGTAGAATTAAAGGCATTACTGGTGGAATTGACGGAGTAACTGGTGTATCTGGTCTTTCATCTCTAGTAGGAGTATCAAAGACTGGGAGCTGGAGTTGATGGCAAGTTGGAGTTCTTGGCGTAGTTGGAGTTGGAGGTGCCGTCAAACGGAATGATTGCTGTCTTTGCATGGCCACCAGGTAGTCGATTTTCTGTTGTTGAGAAAGAATAATACGTTCCATCTCTGTTTGCCTGCGTTGTTTATCTCCAACTGTTTATAAATTGCGGCCATAGTTTTCTGTATTGTAAATGCAGTTGGTTCAGTTTCTGTTGGACTAGTCTGATTGCATTTGTCATTTGGAGATGGTGTTGGTACAATTGGTGAAGTTGGTGACGGCGCTTCTAGGTGCAACTGTAGTTGTGGAGAGATGGATGGTGAATGATAGGCATATGGATTGTGAATGCCTTCCTCCATACTGAGTAAAACGGCCTCCTGTCTGGGTTTCTTTGATGTAGTGGTTTTAGGCATTTTTTTTCTTTTGCGTATAACAAATGGTGATGCTACTGGTGATGCTACAGGTGATGCTACTGGTGATTGTGGTGAGTGTGGCGATGAAGAAGCTGGAGAAGTTACTTCTGAGTTTTCTGTCTCTCTGTTTTTCATCTGGAGATAGTCGCCAGTATCTATAACTTCTGCAGATTCAGGGTAACTGGTACTGTTCCCGTACATCACTGGGTATCTGCTGCCTACTCTTAATTTACAAAATCCTGCCGACAGCACGAGCTAATATTGGAGGGAAAATACTTAACGTTAAACAAGAGTTATATCAATGGGTCAGATTGCCAGGGTCAAATAAGTGTATTGATTGATGGAGAACTAAAATGATAAGGCTCTTACGGGTATGGAGATGTGGGAATTTATTTTTATACAACTTATTAATTTCCCCGATTTTGAAAAATGATTCAGTTAGTAGGATTGAACAATTTGGATGTGTATCTTAAATGTTTCTTTTTAGAAATTTTTTATGCATTCACAAAAAATAATTATCCTTTTCTGTTTATTCAGCCGTAAATTCTTTCATAAATTGGTTCGGCTGATCTAGGTCAAATTCCAGCAGTGATTGACATGAGAAAATAAACGTAGAGGCTCTTACGGGGAATGTGAAATCGGAAGAAAATAAGTTTATAGTTTAAAACTGATTCATTTCCAAAGTTTTAAGTGAATAACAATTGATTTGTACATGACTTATATCTAGCATATCTAACTAAGCTGAAATAAACAATTTCAATGTTCATATTATAGCTAATAAATAAAAACTGAAATATTTTTTATCCGTAATTTCATCTATTAAAAGAGTGAAATATGTTACAGGATGCTATCATTCATTAATCTATAAAATGTACAGGTAAGATTACAAATTTATCAATCACAGCTACAGATTAATTTACGACCTTCCATCAAGGTATTACACAGGTACATCACTGCAGGGGTAATTACAGTCAGGCCGATGTCCGACTATACATTGGGACATATATAGGAGCAAGACTTAAAATGTACTGTATTAAATATACCGGAAATTGCTCTCAAGTCTTCAACTCTCTAGTAAGATAATTTTAAAATGTTTTAAAGAACACAAACATTTTTTTTTAGTTATTGTCCTTGGACAGAACAGATAAAATATTTGCAACGCGGGGGACATTGGAACTCTCTCCTTTTATTTATTTTGTATCACATTTTTTATTATGGTAATATTTGATCTTGCATTTTTGTACACTCTTGAACAATTGCAAATGTCCACAAAAATTCCTGAACAGTGAACTAGGAAATCAAAACACTACGTAATAAACATCAACAACTAGATTAATCGCATTTGTTATAAATACTATTTTGACACTAACAGTTTTAATTTCAGATTCAAAGAGAGGAGGAATTGAAGAAAAAATCAGAAGAAGCAAAAGAAAACTACATTTCAACTTTGATTTCTAATATGAGGAATAAACGCTTTAAAGATACAGATATTACAGAACTTTCTTTAATTGAACCAATTGAGAGTATGTATAGAAACATTCCTTATTTTTTACATGAAACAGATAATATTTGTTTTTGTCATATTTTGTTTTACAAACAATGAGGTCTATAAATTTAAAGGAAGAAATGGGCAATAATGTCTTCTTGTCAATTAGTCTCTTAAAATAAATAAAAGATACAACTAAATAAGCTAGCAGTGTATATTGTAGTGATTTTTGACAATCAGTTAAATCCATTTCACAGTCAGATCAAAATGAGATCAAGAATATTTCTGAGGTCAGCTGATATATCTCCTAACGCAATTTCCTGCTGAAACCAGTACTGTCATGACTGTTATAAATCTCCTTAATGCAGGTATTCTTGCTATACAGTACAGGTTTTTCGCATTGTTGAAGGCTGTATGGTGACCTATATTTGCTAACTTCTAAGCCACACCACATCTTATTTTTAGACCCTCGTCTTTTTGAATTAAAGTACAAGAACAGTAATTCTCATTCATATTTTCAGCAAAGCCAAAGATTATAGATAAGGAAACTGAAAACTTCCAACAAAGATTTATGAAAAGGAAGATGGCACTATTAAAACATAAAAGAAAGCATGGTATGTATATGTCTAAAGTATAATTATTCTATTTATTTATGAATCCCAATTCTATATTATGATTCTAAAAAATGGTAAATACTCAGGGTCTGAAAATTCCTTAAATCAGAGGTCCAGGATGATCTTAAAGCACATTTGGGGCTAGAGTCACCTAATGTAAGTTCCGAAAATATTGCAGATTTTTAATGATATGAATAATGGGACTGGGTGAGTATCCCAATAAAAAGTAATCGCAATCTGATATCTGATACATGTATCTGTAAACAGATTTTCCAGAAAACGCATTATCATCCTCTCGTTTTTGTCCATTTTACAAAAATGCACACATTTATTTTCCGAATTTACAGTACATTTAAGTAATGCAGCATGCATGCCATGTTTGTCCGAAAATAAAGAACAATACAAACAAAAAACTCCAACAGAAATTGGCTTGTCACAAGAGCTATGACTAAAATTAGCCTAGTCAATCAATGAAAGAACAACCATTATCAAAAAAGACAAATTGAATTCAGTCTTGTTAAGTTAAAAAGCATACTTTAGATTTCCTTTTAATCATATTTTATAAATACTAAAGCAAATTCTATGAATAAGATTATCCTAATTGCAATTCTTTCAAAACTTATTTTCAGGTATTAAACCAACGAGAGAACTACCATGGCCAGGCAAAAGAGATGTTCATGTCACAGAATACGGTTTAGATCCACAAATTGTTGAGAAACTCAAAATAAAGAACCTCATTACCAAAATGGAGAATGTAAGTTAGGCCTAGACCATACTTATGAATTTGTGAGTTTCTTGAACATATTATTTTTTCATTTGTCAAAACCTTAAAAAGAAGAAACTTTTGGTCATTACATCCCTGCTTCTAAGGTGCATATGTCTGCCTGTAAGAAGGGGTATACTATTGTACCATTGTCTTTCATGTATGTCCATCAGTCTCATGAAATCTCTATCACACTTCTCACATAGACTACAGAGCTTCCTGAAATTTGTTACATGGCTACATGTCAGCATGTTAATTTGGGTGACATAGTTTTAGATTCATCAATCATCTGCTTCTTGTTAACTGAATACTTAAATAATCTAAACATAATAGCCATGTATGAAATGTTTGTAGCAGTTTTCTTGTAAAATCAGATTTATCGCTCAGCAACATCCTGCTTAAAGAATACTTATATATTCTAAACATAATACTGTTTATTATTGTGATTTTGACATGACTAACACATATTTGGAATTAATTATTGCAATTTTAGAAAATGCTGCATATATGTATACATCAGTTTGCGATACTGACCCAGTCCCATTATTTGCATTAATAAAAAACTCTCAATCATCGGACCGTATAAATTATTGGTACCGTGGATTCATTTTTGTTTTTCGTTGGAAACAATTATCGTGGATTGAGGAAAAGTTGTATTTTCGTGGATATTTTTCATATATTGGTTTTTCCAGAATCGGCGTACAGGCCTATATAAAATTTGTTCTTCATTGAACATTTAAATTTGTGGTTCACGTTAATCAGGAAATTCATAAAAATGTGTGTCCCACCACTAATGAATCCACAGTAATATTTACATATGGGAAGGGGTATACATTTTTAAGTGGTTGATTTTATGGCCAGAATTTTAGGACCGTCAAATTGTCATACTACTTTCGGGTTTATTACAAATTGACCAATCAGACAGCAGTCAGTTAAAAATGGCATTTTTCATGCCATAAAAGATATACAGATACAGCACCATAGAAAATAATCAACATTTGACCTAGTTTATAATTTATGTGATTTTCAATTTTGAATTTTTTCAAAAAACTATTGAAGATTTCTTTAATAATTTCAGGCCGCTAAATATGAGCTTCATGATCCCAAAAGATGCAGAGAATGCAGGTGAGAAAGAAAGTTATTGATAAATATTTTGTAATTTTCTAACGTTAATGTAAATGTGATTGGATAACATTATCAAATTCAAAAAAATGATTGATGCAAGACATTTTTTTCTACTTTTTTTAAAATTTTTACACTTGAAATGGATAACAGAGAAAGACGTACAAATTTAAAAAAAAAAAATGAATTTCTCATAGTTAAAACTACTGATAAACCAAAGATTGTATGAATGATTTTGGTTCTGTTAGCAAATATCTGCAAAATGCCATATTCATATTTTACAAAGTTATACTTATAATGAATTTATAAAGTTTTGTACACAAAGTAAATAATCACATCAAATTATCAAGTATTTTATCCGGAAACATAATGCAAGAAAACAGAGGTCATTAAAGTAGACGGTGCATTAAGGTTGCACTTCTGTAAATATAGACAATGCAATTTCCCATAGGAACTCCCTTTGTGGCTAAGGGATCATAGATTTATTCTTACGAGGAAGCTCCGAGCATGCCCGGAGGATGCTCGGAGCTTTTTAAGTAGGCTCTTCTCAGCAGTTAATGTGACAATAATTATCATGATCCATTAAGATATCAATCAAATCTACACCACTTCTATGATAAGGAAAGTAGAGCATTATAGAGGATGCTCCATAAACACCTGTGTAAACATCTGGTCTATTCTAATACATGTTGCATTAAATTTTACAAAACTATAAAATAGATTAGAAATTCTTCAACAGTGCTGTGTAATGCTTAGAAAGAAATCTCAAGTCTCCACAAAAAGTAAAAGTCATTTAAATATTTTCTTATTATATTTAATAATCATTCCTTTTTTTATAATAAAAAAATTCTCAAATTTTATAATTAGATGATATGATTTAAAAATAGTTTATATTATATAATATGCTACATAAAAGTTATCAAGACACAAACAACAGTCAGGGGGTGATACTAAACAAGTCATTTTTTTTAGTCACTTTTATAAATATTTTTTGTTTTTAAAAATTATTTAATAACTCAATAGTTATTTTAAATGACAAATAAAGCATGGACTAAATGTAGTTTTCAAGAATTTTTATATCATTTTATTAAATAAAATTAAGTATTTATCCAATTTTAGATGAGTATAGAGAGGTTACTTTAAAAAATAATGACAAAAATATTACTTTAATAAATTATTTTATACAACTTCAAAAAACTTAGTACTTACAATTATTTAAGGAATATATGTAATTGCTTTCAATTAAGATTCAAATTATAAATAACTTCAAGTCTTAATTAAAGGTTCCATATCTAGTTATAACTGTCTATCTCTAAGATTTTAAGGGGAAGTGATATTATAATAGCCCCAAGAGGCCAATCTTTGACCAAGAAGTGTGGCATCAGAAAAGCAATTAGTGCTTGTTGAGGATTTAAATAGCTTTACCAGTATATTTCATGGGGAAAATAACCAGATATCTGTGAAAATTTGTTAAAGCTAGTAAAACCTGTATGAATGAACACCTATAAAAATAATATTAACAGAAGTTACTTATTCATGATATGGAAGTAATATTTGAAACAGCCTTGTTTTCAACATAACTTGTATAGGTAATTTTGAAAATTACTTGTTTAACAGACATGATTTTCTTCCGCTTTAAAGCGGAATTCCGCTTTTCGTCTTGTCCGATTCCGATTTTTTGTTGAACTTTCCGTTTTTTCGGTTTTTTTTGTCAGATCCGTTTTTTACACAAGTCCGCTCCGTTTCCGGGTTGATATTTTACTTCAATCTGTAAAAAGCGATATGATTAGTTGAAACATTCTTATCTCCCAATGAAGGATCGGATTACAAAGCGGTATTAAATATCACTTTCGCTTTCAACAGCATGGCTTCCAATGTTGTTGAACGCGATTTTGACACAAAATTGTTAGATAAAGGGTTGAAAAATGTGTGGAAATGGGAATGGCTTGAGCGGAAAGTAGACAAAGAACTTGTTGGTCGATTTATTAGGAAGATTAATGTAAAAGGAGTTGCACATTGTAACTTGTGTAGGAAGGATATAAATTATGCAAGTCGAGGATGGAAGAGTCTGGAACAGCATCTCCTGAAAAAAGTGCACCAAGACAACTTGAAAATCCGTAGCTCAAACTACAGCCTTTCTGGTAAGTACATTTTATTATATTTCATCTTTCTCTCATGCAAAGAAGTATGTTCTTTTAGGATAAAGAGAACTGTCCTGCTTCCTTGTGTACATTTCTTTCTTCATTGCCCAAACTTTGATGGTCTTAGTAGAGAGATTAGTGAATTGAAAAATGAATTTTCTAGGGACCGTTATGCCCAAATTTTCCTTGGGTCTGGACTTAGTTTTTTTTTTGCCTTTAATTTTTAAAAAGGTGTGAGAAGGCTTTGTGCATTTATTTATAAAAATTATATCAGGCAGTTAAGATGAATATTATTGGTGTTCATGGTTTAAGTTTAATTTGACAACATTAAATATTAACTTTAGAGAGTTTTCAGTTTTACATATATTGGCATTTTTTTATAATTAATTTTTCATTGTACACATTGACATGAATATATTTTGTTTCAGGTGCATTTGGAAAAGCTAAAGAAACAGAACAAGTACCGTATGGTATCCATCCCATGTTTAAAGCCAGTGCCAAAATTCAAGAACCTGCACCAGTAGCTTTTACACCATTGAATGACAGAGTAGTGAATGCAGAATCAATGGTTCTGTCATTTGTGGCAGAGAACTCACTGTCCTTTTCACTTGTTCTTGGACTGATAGACCTATCAAAAACTTTGGCCAGGGATAAAAAGGCATTAGACTCATTGAATATGAGCAGGACAACTGCTTCTTACAAAACTAGGTTTGGTGTAGGAAAAACATTTCAAGATATTGTGATAGAGGAAATGAGGTCAAATCAGTTTTCACTAAACATGGATGAATCAACAAGTTCAAATTTTCAAAACGTGCTGACAATTCTTGTTAGCTATTTCTGTTCAGTGAAAAATGAAGTTGTCATTCATCACTTTAAATCAGTGACGTGTATTAAAGTTAATAGTGAATCACTGTTTATGAAATTGGTAACACTCATGGAAGAAAACAGTATACCATGGACAAATCTTATGTCTGTTTTGATGGACTCCTGCAATGTGATGCGTGGGTCCAAATCAGGACTTGAAACCAGAATAAGGACGGAAAAGGCACCTCATTTGTTAGATGTTGATGGGGATGTGTGTCATCATGTGCACAATGCAGCAAAGGCATTCTGTAAACCATTCAAGTCCTTCATTGAACTTCTTTATTATGACTTGTTCAGCGACTTCAAATGGTCACCAGATCTTAGAGAGATGTTCCAAGAGATATGCATAATGCTGAACATTAAGTATACAATGCCACAGAGATATGTTAGTCATAGATGGCTATCTGTATATGATGTAACCTTAGACACTTTAAGGCTCTTTGATGCACTTACAGTGTTCTATTTCCCCCTGCTGACAGAATCAGAAAGAGTCAAGTTTCTACCAACAATTGTAGAAGTGTACCACAGGCTAGGAGTATCACAGTCTTCTAGAGAAAGGATATCAGAAATTAGAAAGGTATTACAGTTAATGCATAAGTTTTTTGTTTGAATTGTTCAACATTTTAATTTTTTTTAACTACAAATTAATTTAAAACTCCATCAGTCGCATGATAACTTTTAACAGTACTTGTTTGTTTATGTGCATGATGTTTAATTTAGCAATTTGAATTTAAATGCAGCATAAATTAATGATTGATTTAACAATTTTATTTTCAGTGATGATTATTGTTTTGATAAGAAGTGCAGCATGTTGTTGTTTTTAACAGTTATTTTTTTTCAGTTGAGCATGTTGTTTAATTTAACAATTTTATTTTCAGTTCAGCATGATCCTTCCCTAACTTCTGATTCATAGTCTTTTGGTGAGTAATGTTTCATTTCTATGCCAATGTAGTCAGGAAACTTGATTATTATGAGATGTTCATTCAATCTTTTCTGAGAGTTCTTTTATCAAAAGTTGGAAGAGTTAATATTTGGATTTCTTTATTTATATTTTAGCAATTAACTACAATTATAAATGGACCAAAATGATGTATGGCCAAAATAAACATATTTTATCAATTAGATTATTTTCATTTGATGAAATGATACGTATATCTATTGTAAATTTATGTATTTTGAAACCCTTTAAATGTATTTTGAGGTCAGACTATATTTTTTCCAGGACCTTACCCAGAAACAGCTAACAAAAGAGGGCAGAGACAGGAAAGACAGAATCATTAATAAGATTTTTACAGAGAGAACATTATCAAAGATGGTTATGGGACTTTACTCTTCAGTATTTCCTCTGTTGAAGAACTTTGTCTTACTGTTTGAGATGAAGGAGCCTCTCATCCACCAACTCCATGAAGAACAGGTAATGTGTATGATATAAATTGTCAAATTCTACACCAGAAATGAATATTTTCATTGGATTTCTGGTTTAAGGTATTTTAAAATGTAATTTGTGATGGTGTTTTCTGAATGTTGTATTTTTTTATAGTAATTTTGTGCATTTGATACATAATTTTTACACATGTTGATTGCAGTTAATTTCCCAATTTTACTTTACAGGTGAAATTATTTAAAGAATTTCTTGGTTGTTATGTTAAACCAGAAGTAATCATCTTGGGGACATCTTCTCTTAAACTGAAAAAACTAGACATAAAGACTACAGGGAATTTGTTAAAACCAGAGAGGATGTTTTTGGGAGCTAAAGCTTCTAAGCTGATCCAAAGCTTGTCCACTAGAGACCATGTTGTGAAAACTTTCCTGAAACAGGTATATATTTTTATTTTTAAAGCTGTTCCTTTGACATGTATTTGTATGAGCACACATATGGACTGCTTTTGGATAACTAAGATTAACTATGGTGCTTGAAGTATTTGTTATATCAAATGCTGATATGTGGTATATTTTAAACATTTCTGAATCAGTTATTTTTTTCAATAATTTTATTTTTTAAATACATATTTTTAAAATACATAAGTAACTAAATAGTATAATGATATCTGATGATATGGACATTGTGTTGCTGGAAGAAATAATTTTTTTGAAATTATGTGAAATTATAAAAAATGTTTACCATTTCAGGTAGAGGAAGCTTATACTGCATGTGGAAAGACATTACAGGAAAAACTTGCTCTGAGTAACACTTTCCTCAAAGCAGTGTCAGCCATTCATCCTGATGCTAGTGGACATTCAGTCACTCTAACATTCTTACAGAAACTTCCTAATTTGGCCCCAAATGTGTTAACAGAGGAAGAAACTAACACCTATGATTTGGAAATCCGAAAATATCAAACTGATGACCTGCCTGAATTTGAAGATGGAACCAGAATTGACCACTGGTGGGGTAGGGATGATATAAGGAAAAGATATCCGTGTCTCTGTAAAATGGTGAGGTCTTTACTGTCATGTTTTCATGGGCCTCAAGTTGAATCTTCTTTCAACGTCATGAATGATATCATTGACAATAAGTCTGGGAGAATCAATATTGAGACATACAATGCAATTCAAAATGTTAAGTATAGTCTCAAAGCCTGTGAAAAGAGTGCAATTGCCTTTCACAACAAACAAGATTTTCTCCATGAAGGTATAAATCCCAAACTTGTAAAAAACATGAGATCATCATGCAAGCAGTATAAGCTTGAGTTAGAGATGAAAAGAAGTGCTCTAGAAGAGAAAAAGAACAGGTTAAATGTAACAACGAAGACATCAATGGTTACAAAAAGGAAAGCTAAAGAACTGTGTGCTAAAGCAGCCAAGAAAGCAAGAAAAACTCATCAGCAATGTATTGCAAGAGGCTCAAGTCTTGCAAAGAAAAGCTGAAAAGATGAACATTAATGTACATATGTGTATATATATCTGTATATATGATGTAAAAATTGTTTTTATATAAAATGGAGATTGTACATACTATTTTAAAGAAGTTTTGACTTGTCTTTGATGGATTGCCTAGTGTTGTATAAAAAATTAAATATGGCTACATTGTATGTGAGACTATGGATGTTAATATTTTGTAAGTAACCATCAATTCATTAATTATTTTTTTAAATGAGAAGTTTTAACCTAGACCAGAACATATATATAGAAAAAAGGATGATTCAGGTACTTCATGGCTTATGTTAAATTTTCATATTATATTATTTTCTACTTTTCTTTGAAAATTTTTGCATAAATTGGAAATTTATTTAAAAAATGCACTGTAAAATGATGTTTTCCAGCTTTCAAATTTAGTGACAGGAGATGCCAGAATTCAGGATTTTGCAACATTTTACCCCAGAGCCCTCGCCGTAAGGGCACCTCGCTTCGCGAGGTGCATTGACTCACTTTGTGAGTCAGTCTTTCAAATTTATTATTTTCAGTTTTTTTTTTAAATGCCAGAATCATGTCTGGTTTAAGTAATGCCCCTAACTAAACAATGGTAATATGTTTTTTTTAAATAGCAAACTAAGTTCTTTTATAGAAAATTAAGGCTACTTTAAGAAAAGTTTTAATTCATTAGTGGATGCCTGGTTTGAGGGGGTAATACCACCATTGTTTTCCCTCTAGTACGTCTCTCTTTACTTGGCATTTTTTTTTAATTGTGCAGATTTAGCTTTGTTTTAAATAGAGAAATACTTGGCATGAGTAAAATTATTTTCCCCCTATAAGTCTTTGTTTAATTGTCATGATTGTTATATTTCAAAAAAAATGTGCAGAATTTATCTATGTTTTAAATAAAGAAATACTTGACATAAATAAATGTCCTGTACTAAAGTGAAAATATAGCATAACTTTTCAGTGCATACAAGAAAGTAAACATCACCAGAAGTTAACCAATCAAATTCTCTCCCCCTTTTTTTCCCTGTAGAATATAATATATTTTTATTGCTTTGAAACACCCAAGAAACATGTTTGCGTCTCAAAAAAACTTTTCTGCAATGAAATGGAGGATTTATTTCAAACAACTGTCAAATTAAATGGAATATAAAAAAAGATCAACCCTTTTTCGAATGAAACTGAATGTACTATGTTTTGGTAGTATGGTTATAAATCAATAACCATAGTTTGTGTCTTTGATGACTTGTATATTTCATTTTATATAGTATAAATTTAAAATATATTTATATTTCAAATATAAAATTTGAGTGTTTTTTTATATCATGTGTATTGAAAAAGAATGATAATTATTAAGAAAATGTTTTGAAATCATTTTCTTTCTGTGAAGACTTGATACCAAGCATTGTACAGTAATATTGAAGAATTTCTCATCTATTTTATAGTTTTGTAAAATTAATGCAAGATTTGTTTGAATAGACCAGATGTTTCCACAGTTGTTAATGGAGCTTCCTCTATAATGCTCTACTTTCCTTATTATAAAAGTGCTATAGATTTGATTGACATCTTAATGGATCATGATAATTATTGTCACATAAACTGCTGAGAAGAGCCTACTTAAAAAGCTCCGAGCATCCTCCGAGCATGCTCGGAGCTTCCTCGTAATAATAAATCTATGATCCCTAAAGCTGTGCCCCTTTTACTATGAAGTTTCGTAAAAATTTATATCCTAGAACGGAAAGTTGATATGCACTACTTTTTTATTCAAAGGTCAAAACATAGGGCTGTGCAGCATATTTTCAACATTTATATGCCCCGAACTTCTAAGAGTTTAAACTTGTACTAAAATTCTCTACTATCCTTACCTCCACTTTGGGTGTCCCTCAGAATTCAATTATCGCCGCAACCATCTGTTTTTATACTGTTAACATTCCCAAGTTATTTCTCTATGAAATGAAACATTGAGATCATATCTGGGAACCAGTACGTAAACAAAACAAAATATCTATGAATATTATATATCTCCCCAAAAGAGGTGTGGCTTGTGAAACAGCTGTATTTACAAAGTGCAACCTTAAGACCACTACTTTATAATTATTTTATGACAGCTTTGCATGAAAGCAAAAAATTACATTAAAATATTGTGTACACAGATGCGAGCCTAGTCATTGCAAATTCATGAAAAAGCTGGAACCAAATAATGCTGATAATATTCAAAATGTATTTTACATAAAAAATTGAAGCATTTCAAAATCGTTTGATTTTTATGTAAAAATAAATGATAGGAAGTTGTATGAGAATAGACGGTCAAAAGATGGCACCTGAGGAAAATGCATTATTTTACACATGTATATGTGATGGGGGAAATATCCAGTTAATGAATGTACAAAATGTTAATAATTAAATGAGAGGTGCTGTTTTGTATAGGTTCTTGCTTATCTTTGTGAATCCAAAATTAGATTACTGATCATCATTTAAAACAATAGTTAATACACACATAACTTATAAGTTTTTTTAATCTTTTTTATGCTCAGTTATGCAATGTGCAATCTTTTTTTTAGAGAATATGAAAAAGAACTTGATGAGGAAGCAGCCAAAAGACATTTCATCAGGATAAAGAAATCTCAGATCCAAAAAGATATAACTGAAAACCAGCTTCAGAAACATGTAATAAGAATGGTATGTACAAGATTTTTTTTTTTCGAAACCAGAACATCAATTTTTACCAAATTTGGTTTAAATCATTCTGATATTAAAGTTGAAATCTTCACTCCCATTTGGTGAGAAATTGAAGATTACTTCATATGGCCCCACTTCTCATTTCATTTTTTAAAAATATGCACATCCTCTTCGTGTCTTTCTCTTTTAGAAGTGTATCAAGTGTTAAGGTCGTCTTTGTCAAAAGAAGACTTTTGGGGCTCCAGTTCAATATCAACCTTAGGTCACAAGGTTATGTTTGAAAATTCTGTTGAAAATTACATATGTTGCCTAGTATTTTTTGCTTTTTGTTGTTTGATTGCTGTCTCAATGGCATAGAAACCAAAATCGCCTTTTTTTCATCTGTGTTTCACAGCCTTGTTCAAATATTTGATTATAAATAGACAGTGAATGCAATGTACACCACAAACATAGCAATAATTGGACAATCAAAATTTCCCAATATACAGTATATGATGTAATATTGTACAGTATCATAGTTATTTGTTATATGGCATTAGTTCTAAATGATATTTCATGGAAGTGTTGCACAGAATAAACATTATTTTGTTAGAATTGGGATATGAAACGTGGCTACTTAAAAATTAACCTTGGCTTCATGGGTAAAGAAGTTACCAGCATGACGAGGATATTCCGAAGCACATCTAATAAATTTAGACAGTATCCAATATGAATATGACTGTCACATCTCACCCAAGTTTTATATGTATTATTTGCTAGATTGGAGTCACCTGTAGATTACAGATGTTATACATAATTAAATCTTGTAAATCTTTTTATAAATTACAAATCAAGATAAAAAAAAAAAATCTAAAGGAATTGCATGAAAACATGGTTGTCATTTTTATGTCCATTAATCTTCAAAGAATATTTGTCTTTCATTATTTGAAAGTTATCTTTTGATTTTTTAAATTTGAGCAATTATTTTCTTAATACATTTTAATAATTGCACATTTGGTCATTGAATAATATGAGTTGTCAAAGCAATTCAATAATAGGATAAAACCTTATACATTGTAAAATATCTAGAGGTAGTGTTCTTCCCAGAAATTTTGGATAGCATCACATTTGGCGTAAAAAAATAAACTATTTTTTTCAATGTCATTTGTTGCGTCGCGGCAATGCTCTATTTCCATTTAAGTTATGTTTATATTGTTCAATTCATTACTGAGAATACAATTAAAGTATAACAGTTGTTTCATTTTATGTTTTCTATATTCATTTATAGTTACAGAATTATTGTTTTCCTCTTGTTTCATGGGACTCAATGTATTAGTCCCAGTTGTTTCTTATCAAAATGATATATATTTCTAACAAAGTTAAGCTACTTTAATCAGTATATTGAAACAATGCATTTACAAAATGAATACATTTAGCAAGGAGATCTAACCAATAGTCTGTTAATGCATGTTGAATGCGTAGTTTTCTCTTTTGGGATCATTATTATTCTCTCTACTGTGCCATTTGTAGGTCTGTAGTCTGTATCGTAAAAATGTGGATTTTGGTCATAGCTGGTCCACTTCCGGTGAATCCCGCATCCGATCCGTAGTTTGCACAAATATTTCAATGGCGGTCGAAGAAAAATTAACGAAAATAAACAATGTTTGACAAGCGATTAGGAATGAATATGACGCTTTTAATGCATTAAATGGATGAAATAGTAACCTAAAGGCAATTATGATCACTTTCTAATGAAGTATCAAACTTATTTAAAAGCTGTAATAAAATACGACAAAACGTCTTTTCTAAGGAGATAAATTGTTTATAACTTTGAATTTCCATGATGCAAACGTAGATTTATAATTGTATATGATTTTCTGATTACATTTTCTCAATGTCAAAATTTGCGATAATTTGGATCACGTGTTATTAGCCATATCATAAGTGTCAGCTTGGGGTATTCGTATCCAAACAGTTATCAACCTAAGGGCAATTAACACCTTATTTAATCACTCTAAATTGCCGCTATTGTCCGATTTGAAGGGATTACAATATGATATAATTTTTATGATCACAAGCGGTAATAAGATGAAAGTTCAAAAATTAGGACATGGTTTTGCGGAATAGAGACAAGAAAAAAAAGCATCCTCAAAATAATTATAGCGTTGCGAAAATTATAATAGCATCACGGGAAAAAAATATAACTTTGCGGTGGCGCAATGCTAAAACGGCCTGGGGAGATCACTGTCTAGAGGTCAACATACAGATTAAAGTAAAGATGTGATATATGATTGCTAATGTGAAAACTATCCAACAAAGGCCAAATGATGTAGATGAAAGCAACTATTGGTCACATTTCGGCCTTCAACAATGATCAAAATCCATACCCTATAGTCAGCTACAAAAGACCAGGAAATGACAAAATGTAAAACAATTCTGGCGAGAAAAAAATCCTAAAATACAGTCTTTTACAATAGACAGATATCTAGACCATTTGTCAATTTCTTCTTCACCCCTTGAATAGACATGTGAAAAATATGCCATTGGTATTAAATAACACATAGCTGAGAGGGTGATAGAGCAGAGTGTTAGCCTGAAAAAACAATGTCAACCAAGGCGGAACCTAGGCGAAGTCAAGGTTGACAATATTTTATTCAGGTAATAACAATCTACTCTATCACCCTCACATCTATGTATTGATAAATTTAGTATACTGAATGTTCTATTAAATTTCAAATTCAAAGTAATAAACTATGACGTCTTGTACAAAACTACCATTCATATTCAATAAAGTGCACAATTGATCAAACGTCTCTGGAAGGGTAATAGTGTTATCCATGGGATAAAGTAAATTATCTCTATTGTGTTTACCAATCAAAATCTGACATTTTAATATTACATGTAATGACATTATATACCATATATAATGTACAGAAAAACAAACGTTTTAGTTAGAATAGGTATAGTAATATTTGTCTATGTAAGCAAAAGCATTTGCACGTTTTTTTTATGGTTATGTTTGCCTTTTATTAGAGTGACAGTTTTTGGTGAACATTGATAATTCTTTACCATTTATTTTCTTCAGAATCCTATTAATCTAATTGGAGAGTTAGCAAAATCTTTGCCAAGACCCACAGCAGATCCAGCTGAAATTACAGAACAAATGAACCAAGGACTTATGTTGTCGAAATATTTATGACAAAATATTTTTAATGTTGATAATTTATTTTTATCGTTAAATTTTAATTAAAAACAAATATCAAACAACAGATTTGATTGACTTTTATTTCATAAACAATAATTGGTGTGCATGTTTTCAATTCTCTATATTGAAGAAAATTCAGCTCTGATATCAAATGTCATTGGCTTTTTTCTGATTGTTTTTTTTTAAGTTTTAAAAACAATTGGTGATAATGTATACCTGATGACATCTCACTGGAACTTTTAGCAAGTTATTGAAAAAATAATGTTTATTTGACTTTCAACATAGCTTAAAAATCATTGGTAAAACATAATCTAATACTGTAATAATAGTTGCAGTGGTAATATCTTTATATTAGTATCAGTATTCTACTTGGTTATTAATGATCTGAGTTCAGTCCCCCACAAAATCTCAATTAGAGATTATAAAAGGGTTTTATTTGCATTTGTCATAAAGGATGAAGTTACTTCAGGATTACCAAGAGGAGTGACTTCTCTTTCACTGGCCTGTCCAGAAGAAGTGTTAGAACTGTTTTCAAACAAAAAGATTTAACTATTCTATTTTGAATGTATAACTTGCATATTTTTATTGGAGTTCCTTTAGCACAGATCTTGACCTTTTCTTGTCTTATACTTCAATAATTTAATCAAGGAGTCGAGTATAATTGCATTTTTACCCTATACTTGTGCCAAACCCCTACAATCCACTCCTGAAAAAGGTTTGTTGATCCTTATGCCTGCTTTTATTTATAATAAGCTGATTTGAAAATATACAGATTGTTTTGTATCATTAGTAGATTCTTTCTTTTGAATCTCATTGATGGATGCCTTGACAATGCACCATAAACAGCATCATATCATTATGAAAAAAGAGTTTTAAATTTGCCACATTGCAAGTAAACCAATATTATAATTATCAGTATGCAGGAGTAAAAAAAGACAGTTACTTAAAGTACACTCTACTAAATAAAATATATATGAATGATTAAGCACTCATGCTAATTAAAATGTTCAAAACTGTATTATCAAGTCCTCCTTGTGGCAATTGCACATGGACATGTTTACTAAACAGCAAAAATCACCATATTCATGTGCTCAAAGGACATTCTAACGTTTTTTGTTTTTAATCAATTTGGGGAAGGGGATAGGGGAACCAAACAAACACAAATAATGCTGATATAGACTAGCAGAACTTGTCTCTATGCTGGGAACAAAATCAATAGATCAGTGGATACATTATGAAAATTTTCTTCATCATTCATTTTCCAAATAAACTCAAACTTATATTTAGTACTCAACTTATCAAAGTTAGCACGCTATTTCTTTTCTCTTCCAAACAGTAACTATTTGCATCTCTCATTATGATATATTTCTAAACAAGTTGCTGCAAGAACGTTACATGTGGTCTTTTAGCTGTTCAGTATATGATGCAAACATCCACATTATAGTAAACCTTGTTAACAAAAGAGATGAAATCGTCGTGTAATTAATTGTCAATAGATCACCATAGGATGTATTGTTAACAGAATAAGAGAACACGGACCTTACAGATGATGATAAAATCTAGATGTGGTACGATTGCCAATGAGACAACTCTCCACAAGAGACCAAATGACACAGAAATTAACAACTATAAGTCACCGTACGGCCTTCAACAAATGAGGCCATTTCGGACGAGAACATGTTAATGCTATATGAATACGAATCATGCTTTGTACTAGACTGGTAGACTGAAATTATTCCGACTTTCTTTTTCATATGACAACAGTCCTCAAACAGACATGTCACCTTGCCAGGGCACATAATTCAGATTCCCATCTGACCAATGTTTGTTCTTCCTCTTAATTGTCGTATTGAAAGCATATACATGCAAATTTAAAAAAAAATCTCTGGTAACAACCGGCAGTCCACCTCTTGCACTCGAAGGCAAACACGAAACCACCGAGGTTAAAGTTGACATTATAGAGACGACAATTTTATGTGGATTTTTCATACTACTTTCAGTCTTCGCTCGTAAAGTGATTGTAGAGTCTTTCAGCTTAGCTGTATTTGTCAAAACTTCTAGGAATTTTTGGTCCTCAATGCATTTCAACTTCGTACTTTATTTGGCCTACTTAACTCTTTTTTTTATTCGAGCGTCACTGATGAGTCTTAATTTTTGTAGACGAAACGCGCGTCTGGCGCAAATACAAATTTTTAATCCTGGTTTCTATGATGAGTTTATTTGCATGAATTGACAAAATAATGACTGAATGTGTGTCAGTTGAGAACACTACATGTCTGATTACGTTTGTATAATGTCGTTTGATCTATTATGCATGACTTTAAAAGTCTACAATGTAATAAGATGACCTGGAAATCATATATCTGTGAGGAAGCAGGACAAATCGCCCCACTGGCAAATCGCCCCACACCAAATCGCCCCATTTTTTCACCAACTCGCCCCACTTTTAAAAAATCGCCCCAAATGTGGTTTACCAACTCGCCCCACTTTTTAAAAAAATCGCCCCACTTGTGAATAGGGTTAAATCCCGTTAATTTTTCTCCTGCCAACTCGCCCCACTTAATGAAATAATGTAAACCTATAGATGAATATATAATTTCAGGTCTGCCAACACCCCCTACTTAACTAAAAATATCTTATACACAGAATACAAAAAAAAACGAAAATTTACTAAATCATTATTATTGACATTGAGTTGGCATGACTCAACTTGATTCATCAGGTATTTTCTATTTTTCATAAGTGGGTCGAGTTGGCATCACTAAATTCATCAGGATTTATCTATTTTTCACAAGTGGGGCGAGTTGGCAGACCTTATATCAGAGGGATTTTTTTCCCTTTTCATAAATGGAGCAATATATCCAACCTATTTTCAATGGGATTTTATCCTTTTCATAAGTGGGGCGAGTTGGTAAACAAAAGTGGGGCGATTTTTAAGAAAGTGGGGCGAGTTGGTGAAAAAGTGGGGCGATTATGTGTGGGGCGATTTGCCAGTGGGGCGATTTGTCATGGATTCATGTGTGAATTGACTTGATTTTGCTAAAAAGACACAGATCTTAGCATCCACCGATCAGAGAGGTATGATATGTTGATTTTTGTCGAGCCTTCGACTTTTGTCGAAAAAGCGAGACATAGCGATCCTACATTCCGTCGGCGTCGTCGTCGTCGTCGTCGTCGTCGTCGTCGTTGTCGTCGGCGGCGTCCACAAATATTCACTCTGTGGTTAAAGTTTTTGAAATTTTAATAACTTTCTTAAATTATCCTGGATTTCTACCAAACTTGGACAGAAGCTTGTTTATGATCATAAGATAGTATCCAGAAGTAAATTTTGCCAAAAAAAAATTCTATTTTTTCCGTATTTTACTTATAAATGGACTTAGTTTTTCTGCCAGGAAACATTACATTCACTCTGTGGTTAAAGTTTTTGAAATTTTAATAACTTTCTTAAACTATTCTGGATTTGTACCAAACTTAGAAAGAAGCTTGTTTATGATCATAAGATAGTATCCAGAAGTAAATTTTGCAAAAAAAAAAATCCATTTTTTCTGTATTTTACTTATAAATGGACTTAGTTTTTCTGCCAGTTAACATTACATTCACTCTGTGGTTAAAGTTTTTAAAATTTTAACAACTTTCTTTAACTATCCTGGATTTGTACCAAACATGGACAGAAGCTTGTTTATGATTAAAAGCTAGTATCTAGAACGAAATTTTGTTAAAATTTAATTCCATTTTTTCCGTATTTTACTTATAAATGGACTTAGTTTTTCTTCAAGTTAACATTACATACAGTCTGCAGTTTAAGTTTTTTAAACATTTATTAGATTCATAAACTATCCTGAAATTTTACCAAAATTGGACAGAAGCTACTTACAATCAAAAGATAGTATAGAGAGGAATATTTTTATTAATTTTTTTCCTCATTTTTGTTGAGTCTGCGATTAACAGCAAAAGTAGGCGAGACACTGGGTTCCGTGGAACCCTTACGAATTTTTATTTGTAACTAAGATCAGCAAAAGTTAAGCGACTATAATACTTTTAATGCATCTAGATAAAACATTAGAAATAATTGCAGAGGGAAATAGTTGACGTTAATTCCTTCTCCATTTTTTGTTCTCATTCATTTTCTATTTTTCACTATATACTATTTTTGTATTCACATTTAAAAGTGTTTACACAAAATAATGTCGTTTAAATTTTGAAGTTTAAATTATGTGTTTGTGTCCAACTTCATTAAGGAATTGATTGTCGAAAATGTTTTAAATAACTTTATATCAAAACCAGAAATGGAACACTCAGATAATGCGTGATATACACAAACCAGTAAGACATTTAGTAAAAAGATCTAAAATTAGACAACATTCATTATTTGACCGAAGCATGTAGACAATTTTTGATACGTTTGAACAATTTTCTATAGCAGTATTTTAATCATTATGTATAGAATTTACCCAAGCTAAACGTATAACTATTTTTTGCAACCCTACATATGTAAATAAATAATATTGGTATTGTGTGTTTGAGATTTTTTAAATATAAATATTGTTGCGCTATTAATTATTAAATATATTTCGTTATTCATTATGTAAGACTCGTAACTGTGTTTGATGAAAAATCGATATTAAATATTAAAGAACTAATAATTTCTTTAAATTAACCACACATATATTTTAGATGCGAAAGTCTGTTTTCTATCATATCATAAGGTATTACTTACTATAATTTATATTCTGCAACTAATGAAATATGGAATAATAATGGGTTAAATTAATTAATACGCAATTGAAATATCAAGATTCAACATTAATTCAAGATTGTTATTATAAATTCTAATTTGTTTTCCACGTAGATACAACTCTTTATTCATATATACAAATGTCTTTATAAAAATCCTTACAGATAATATACAGCGATATATGCTCGTTTAAACCTTAAGCGATTTTTGTCTTCCATTTCTATGATAACTGGACTACATTGATGTTCCTATAAAAAATTAACGTCACAAGACAAAATATAGAAATTGTTCAATGGTATCAATGCAATTGGCAACTGTTCAAATGTATATGTAATACTGGTATGAGAAAATCTAAAAATAAATTTGATTTGCAATTGTTCCGGAGGGATAAGGAACACCGTACGAGTATGACATAATTTATTTAACGGTAAGGCAAATTATACACAAATTAAATATATATTTTTATTTTTAATTACCTTGTTTGTTTTGATTAAAAATGGAATACATTCATACCGACATTATTTCAATATGTCGGGAATGCCTAATATTATCGACGTATATTTGTCCTCTGCACAGAAGTTCATTCAGTTACTTTTTATTATAATCAATGCTATTATATATTTCATTGTATCTTGTAAAATATTTCCAACAGAACTAGTATTTACAAGATACTAGTATTTATCATGAAAATAATGGCATAATTGTACCCCTCGATAAAACCAATGTGTACATATATTTATTCATTAAATTTGAAGAATTGTCTTAGCCGTGTGATATCACTTTCGCTATCAACTGCTTCCGGTTTATATCAACTGTTTCTGGTTTATATCAACGGCATCCGGTTATTATCGCATGACTTTCGGTAACGTTATCGCGATGTATTTCGACATCATTCAACAAATTCCAGAAAATACACCTCATTGGTACATTTCTATGTAAAACTTAACTAAGAAGAATAAAAAACTAAACAAATATTATGAAACAGGAAAATATATGATCAATAACTGCAAAACAAATGCTATAACAAATGCTTTTTTTCATAGTTTAAAAAAAAGTTCTTCTGCATGTCTTCTGCTGAAGGATATAATAAAAAGAACATAACATGTTCAAAAACATCCCTCGAGCTTGTCGGCTCTTGGGCTGATATATTGACCTAGGACTGATAAGGGGTTTGATAGGAAAAATGCCATGAAATCCTCGTATGGATCCCATAGCTATATATAGGAAACAGTTGTTATATTGCTATTGCCAATTCGATAGAGATATTTTAAAATAAATGTGCTATATCTGTAATTTATTTGTTTACCTTTGAACAAACAGTTCTACATGTGACTTTGTGAACGAATCAATTAGTTAGAATATACAAAACACTACATAAATGTTCTATAATATTGCACTACTGCAAACATATAGCTTCAATTTATCGATGTCATTAGTGAAAAACATGGAAACACTTTTTCCAGCTTTGCCATACAATAAAATGATAATGGGATGAACATTGATGAACCCTACCCCTCATATATTATACATATAATTGCAATAATAAATATGATTTTTTGAATACTAGATATATTATCAAAGATACCAGCCATATGATTTTGCCTACAAAAGATTACTGTCTTAAAATATGAACACAGAGGTGTAATGTTTGTGAAGCTAATAAATTACAACAATGAATACTGTAGCATTTAAACAAAACTTTGTTCATTAAAACAACTAACAAGTTAATGAAATGTCTCCAAATTCTATTTAAGTATCATCACGTAATAAATATACGGAAAAATAATATTTAATCACGACAGTGGCAGAGTTCTATCAATATCATTCTATTCATTTTCAATAACTAATGCGGACAATATACTTAGAAGAATACTAAGAAGGAAAAAAATGAAGGTATAATGATAAGATGTCACAATACTTTCTTGTGGGATTACAATTATTGGTATTTTGAACGTTCTTGCAGTACCTTATTTCATTTATGTAAACCTTTTGTATCTATAGATTTTCATTGGCCTTTCTCTATTGTCTATATGAATTGTATGACCTTCTATCCCCTTTTTACCCTTTAAAATATGGCGTTGGATCGTGGATAGTATCTGTGAAATCTATTCACTACTTGTTTAAACTTAGGTGGTTTGGATTTGCTTGTCTATAATTATTGTTAAAAATGCGTTTTTGCCTTAGATTTGTGATGTTAAGCTGCTGTCTCATTGACGTTTATTCATATTTCCTTTGGTATTTATATTTACCTTGCTGTCATTTAGGAAGATTTTCTTTTTGTTAATATCAAAATAAAAAATACGAAACATTCTTTTGCAGAGCCTCACCATAAACCATGTCGCTGTCAACACTAAGAAATAATTTTTATCGCATAGCTACACTTATAATCGACCACGGTGCTGACGTTATGCGAAGTCTTTTAGATCAATTTATTAAAAAAAAGTACAATATTTCTCTGAAGGATTTTGTGGCAAAGAACCAACATGAGCTGTATCACCAATTCAATAATGGCATATGCTGTCAGTGCTCCAAACATTATCATCGACCATACAAACAAGTCATTAGTAGTTGGCAAATGGACACGCTATTTGAAACAAATGGTCCGAAACTTTTATGTCATAAACCAAGCAGTAAATGTGAGTATTGCTGCAGTACTGTAAAACAAAACTTACAAATTAACGATCTAGACATCACATTGTTAAATTTTTTTCTCGTGACTTATTTCGAAGAAGAGTTTTGGCGGAACTGTCTCACAGATGGGTTATCATTTCACGATTTTCTTAACATCAACAAGCACGATATTTTCCATTTAGTGCAGTTGAATGTTCCGTGCTGTTTATGTATGAACAACCCAGACTACACAGTAATGGTTGCAACAGGTAAGGATAGACTAAATGACGTTGAATGGGAGGCAATGTTTGCTACAACTGACCAATATAGTGCCCATAGCAAAACATGTGTTGATCACAGAAATCCATGCTCTGTATCTGCTACAATAGGTATTAATCCATCAAGTTTAAACGGTCGAGCACGAATGACCATTTTATCGAAATTTTGCATAATGATGAAACATATTGATCAATTAGTACATGCAAGAAATACTGTATTTGCGCACGCTATTAAAGGAGAACTTACTGATGACAACTTCAGAGAGTTTTGGGTGGAAATAGAAAATTCAATACTATATCTTGCTAAAATAACCAATACAGACCTGGAATTAACGCAACGCATATTGGAATTGCGGGAATTTTCACCGAAGGAAGCTATTTATTTAGAAATGCAATGTTTAGCATTACGACAGGTGCAGAAAGATGAACAGGTTATTCAGGTAAACTAACAGTTCGTTAAGACTTTATAGAATACGGAGATATGAAATAATTGCCAATGAGACATTTATTTACCAGAGACCAAAGGAATTAGACCCTTACAATTATAGGTAATCGTGTTGACTAAACAATTTGCAATACACATACGAAATGGGAAGGCATAAATGGACCCTACATGACAACATGTACTTCAATTTAAACAAGGAAACCAACGGCTTGAATTATGTTCGAAACAAAAGACGAAAAACAAAATATGATGTTACATGTTATATTTAGTTTTTCATATGCTACGGAATTTTTAGAGCCGTAATATTTTTAGAAGTTCGAAAAGAAAAATATTGGTTAAAAGTAGAATGACAAAAATACCGAACTCTTAGGGAACTTCAAAACGGAAAGTCCCCAATCAGATGGCAAAATCAAAAGCTCAAACACATCTAACGAATGGATAACAACTGTCATTCCTGACTTGGTAGAGGCATTGTCTTATGTAGATAATGGTGGATGAAACCTGGTTTTATAGCTAGCTAAACCTCTAACTTGACTGTCGCATAACATTCCATTTTATTGACAAAAGAGAGACGCAGATAAGTATCATATGGATATTCAAACTAATAAGTCAAAAACAAATTGACAACCCCATGGAAACAGAAAAAGCGCAAAAGAAAAATAGCACTATAGTTACACAACATTGAAAACTTAAGTCTGAGCAAAACGATCCCCAACAAAAAACGGCGTAGCTCTCTGCTGCTTTGAAGGGTAAACAGATAGACGTGAAGAATAACTGTACGGAGGACTCAGTTTCCTTAAACCATGATTGAATATCTTAAAGGAATTCATTTTGTTTATTTTTGTCGTAGCATACTGTATTATGATGATTGTCAAAAACAATGTTCAATTTCAAAGGATAATAATATGTATCATTCGTAAGAGTTCTTACAAATCTGAAATTGGTTCTTTGTGATAATTGGACGTATTAAGCATGATAAACAACCCTTTTAATTTCAGGAATCTCGTAACATACAAGGAACAGTAGAATCACTGGCAGAGAAAATAGATGCCAGACTTCAGGAAATTCAGTTACAAATAACAAACTCGAAAACACACAGTACCTACATTAAGGAGAGTGACCTGTCAGGGAATTCAGCATGGTATTCAGGTTTGATAAATTCATTTTTTCCCCATAAAATGTGTTTATAACCTCACGATTTAATTCAGTTTATCGACACAAATGATCGGGATTTTTAAACCGGTAAGATCTATTTTCCTATTGGTTGTAGTTTAAAGGTAGGTTGGCTTGCTTGCTTTGTTTGCATGTTTAAATGTTTGCTCAAGCTTTATAATTAAGATTGACATCTGCAGTAAGATAAGTGGGATACATTATACTTAAATGTTACAGTACGTTAAGTATAATGCAGAGTATAATATTGTATACAAGCTGAAACCCCTCCTATCTATTGATTGCAGAGGTCAATCTAAATTACAACGCTTGAGCAAACATTTTACATTCGGGATGTAGGACTATCTTGTTGGTAGACCTTGCATTATAAAACTTGCTAAATATATTTTACAGTGAATTCCAAATTTTAAAATTACTTTTTTGTTTGTAATATATGTAACACTCCCAAACGTGTCCATCCCCCCAAACGTGTCCGATTCTCCCAAGCGTGTCTATTTCGCCAAAACGTGTCCTTAAAATCCCAAATCTCCCATACGTGTCCAATTTTACATCAACAAGCGTGTCCGATAATTGTTAATCGCCAAAACGTGTCATATTTAAGGCGCCTGAACGTCTCAGACCTTTTAGCGCTATTATGTCCTCAGTGACGCCAGTAATTTCTACGGCAATTCAATTCTCGGGGACACAAAAATATGTCGGGTTTCGATTAGATCCTATAAAAAGATTAAAGCCGTATTCAAAAGACATAATGCTGAATGAAGTATTTCGGCATAATTAATGGAAATTAAAAAAGGAACAGAGTTTAAAGAAGAAAATCCTAAATTTGTTAGATTTAGTTTGTTAAACGCCGGTTGTTTATATTCAAATTAGAATAATTGCAAGTTTGATATGCAACATATGAATTAACTCCTTACTGTTTGATTGCTTGAAGTCCAGTTACAAATATTTAGTTCATATTCAGGACGACAACATATTAACAATAAATACATTAGGTAGATCTATCTCTTCCTACACAAGGTTTCGGATATGGCTGCGTACTTTTACATCCAACCCAGTCAAATGGACGCCCAACTTTGGCATGATTTAACTGTCGGTTGGAAGAAGACATAATTAACCATGTTTCTATTCTCCTTTCACGCTTGGAGGTGGGACAATAGATGAATGAGTAAATTAAAAGGAATATACGTCAATAGAAGAACAATAACCAAAATTTGATAATAAATTTTAATATTGGTGGACATGTAATAGTTACTTGATGGTCAAAAATTAAATTTATTAAATTGGCATTTCTAACTATGGACAAGATTGAGCGCTCATAAAAATGACACGTTTCGGCGCCCTTTTGCAACTAGACATGTTTTTAATTCAGCGACGTCATATGGACACGTTTGGGGGATGGACAAGTTTCTGAGTGTTACATGTATATAGATATATAAGAAGATGTGGCATGAGGGCCAATGAGACAACTCTCCATCCAAGTCACAATTTGTAAAAGTAAACCATTATAAGTCAAAGTACGGCCTTCAGCACAGAGCCGTGGCTTACATCGAACAACAAGCTATAAAGGTCACCAGAATTTATAGTGTAAAACCCTTCAAACAGAAAAAATAACGGTCAAATCTATATAAAAAACGAGAAACGAGAAAACACTTATGTAACAACATCAACAAATGACAACTACTGGACATCAGGTTCCAGACTTAGGACAGGTGCAAACAAATGCAGCGGGTTTAAATGTTTTAAAAGGTACCAACCTTCACCCTTACCTGAAACAATAGTGTAACATCACAACTGTTACATAGGAAAACACACAATAAAATATCAATCGAAATTTAGTAAATGAAATACATATATGTACTTACCGACTGACCCTAGAACTAAATTGCTAAAAAGTGCTAATAAGGTAACTGTAAGAAAATAAAACATAAATTGCACAAATTCAGCAATAGAAATAACGAAAAAAATGTGAAATGTATTATTAAACAAAAAAAAAAAAAAACAGCTACAACAATTAAAATAATAATAGTAATACTAATTGAGTATTGGGTTCATTACACACTTTTATGTCCATAGATAACAGAAGTTTATTTTTGTTTAAATGAGTTTCTTATGCTTACTGCAACTAAAACAATTCATTATATAAAGTTTGAGACGTGCCTTGTCATGTTTGTGAAATGCAGATTCGACACGAACTTTTTATTACTATCATTCTTAATCAAACTTACATAGATATAAGATGATGTGGTATGAGTGTCAATGAGACAACTCTCCATCCAAGTTACAATTTGTAAAAGTAAACCATTATAAGTCAAAGTTCGGCCTACAACACGGAGCTTTGGCTCACACCGAACAGTAAGCTATAAAGGGCCCCAAAAATGAGTAGTTTAAAACCATTCTACAGGAAAACTAACGGTCAAATCTATATAAAAACCGAGAAACGAAAAACACTTACGAACCGCATCATCAAATGACAACCACTGTACATCAGGTTCCTGACTTAGGACAGGTGCAAACAAATGTAGCGGGTTTAAACGTTTTAATAGGTACCAACCTTCACCCTTACCTGAAAAAAATAGTGTAACATGACAACATAGAAAGACACACTATACAATATCAATTGAAATGGCTTAACTCAATCAAAAGACATTAACAAAAACAAGTGAACATACACTGAAAGAATAAATTTGATGTATGACACACTGTAAATATAAAATCAATAAAATTGTATTTATAAATGGATGTATTGAAATAGGTTACATATACTGTGGATTCATTTATTTTCGTGGGTATCAATTTTCGTGGATTAAGGAAAACTTGCATGTTCGTGGATATTTGATTTCGTGATTTTGCCAATCTTTGCATACAAAGCCTATATAAATTTGTAATTCGTTGAACATTTAAATTCGTGGTTCACCTGTAACCAAGAAACCCACGAAAGTTGGTATCCAACGAATAATAATGAATCCGCAGTATGAGAAAAAAAAATACGAACAAATATGCATATATATATGGGGACGAGATTGTAGTTACAACATTTGGAACATATCCGTCGTAATCTATAAAACAGATATTCCAAAACGATTACATCAGAAAAACATAAATTTGATATATGAAATACAAGTAGATTTCAATTTTCTACACCTTATGGTTTCTCCGATAACAAAAAAAATACAAATAGCATTATTTGCCATGAATAATGATATATTTGCAGATAGATACGAGTATGCACCTAAGAACGGGACAAGTAAAGGGTGTTCTGTTGAATATAAAGGTATAAGTTCTTATTCATTCTCCATCTATTCTCTGAATTCAGTATATATTTAAACTTTCTTATTATTTATAAACAATATCAAAGTAAACGTTAAGGCAGGCTGGTATTTCTTTTTGCTTGGAATATTATAAATAAACTGTTTTAGACAACACAAGAAGTCATTATGACCTCTCCATTTATATGTGTATTCTGTCGAAAGATGTGAGTTTTTTCCACCAACATAATGTCAGTTAACAATGTTAAAACAGGTGCGGATGTATAGTGTAAACATATTTTCAAAAATATCAGCATCAAATGTTTTTAAACCTGACAAACATTAAATGTCTAGAAGTTTCATGTTAAATTGTCCTTGTAGTTTGCTCTTTTTCAATACATGCATGCACATTTATTAAAAAAAAACCTTTATTTGTCTACAGAAGAATACCTGCCAATAAAAGAACGTGCAGATGTGTGCATGTAAAATTTATATACGTAACGATATTTTTGACCGGGAAATAAATAAATTACTTAGAAACTTTATTTTGAAGATTTTTCCATGAATGCCTAACAGATATATTTTTGTGTTTAATAATAATTGGAAAATTTTATTGAATATTGAGTTTTTATCAGTTTTAAAACTCTCCAGAGGATGATTGACTTTCATGCAAACTGAATTAAAATAAAAAGTGTAATCTATGTCAAAAGCGTTAAAAGATTTCTCTATTTAAGGTAAGACTCAAATTGTGGTCAAATGTCTAAAACTATTCTTCAAAACTGTTAGACAAATATACTTTATGTGGTTCATAAGTGTTTCTCGTTTCCCGTTTTTTTGTATAGATTAGACCGTTGGTTTTTCCCGTTTGAATGGTTTTACACTAGTAATTTGTGGGGCCCTTTATAGCTTACTGTTCGGTGTGAGCCAATGCTCCGTGTTGAAGACCGTACTGTGACCTATAATGGTTGACTTTTATAAATTTTGACTTGGATGGAGAGTTGTCTCATTGGCACTCATACCACATCTTCTTATATCTATTTACTGTCATATTTGTTCTTAATATAGAATGCCACAATTTGAAGAAAAAAATTTAAGTCTTGTTTTATATTATTCTTGAACGGAAACATGGAAAGGCCTGGTTATATATCTACATGCATTAGAAAAGAATCCCAACCATCTACGTGACATATGAAATACTAGTAGATTGCAATGTTCGGCTCCTTGCGGTTTTAACCAACAAAAAACATAAAGTAGGCATTCTTTAACTAAACAATGATATATTTTCAGATGAATACGATGATGCACATAAGAACGAGACAAAGAAAGGATGTTCTGTTGGATACAAAGGTATAAGTTCATATACATTATCCAACATTATAATGATATATTCTCTGAATTCAGGATATCATTAAACTGTTTTATAATATATCAATAATATCAATGTAAACGTTAAGGCATACTAAAATTTCTTTTTCTTCGAATATTATTAATAAACCAGGCTGTTTCAGACAACACAAGAAGTCAGTTTGACTCCCCCTCATTTAAATGCGTATTCCATCAACCGAAGGATGTGTGTTTTTCTCCACCAGAATGTTAGTTAACAATGCTAAAACAGGTTCGGGTGTATAGTGTTAACATATTTACAAAAATCATAAAATGCTTTTAAACATAAAATATATTGAAATAGAAGGCCCATGTTATGTCACACTTGTGGTTTGCTTTTTTTTTAATTCATACATGCACATATCAAATACATATTTATCATTGTGTTCTACTTGACAAAATAAAACATATATACATATACAGAAAAATACTTGACAATGAAGGAACGTGAAGATGTGTGCATGTATAATTTATATACCTAACAATATTTTTGACCGGGAAATACATTACTTTGAAACTCTATTTTTGTGATTTCTCCATGTTTGCCTTACAGATGTGTTTGTGTTATAATAATTGGAAATTTTAATTGAATATTTAGATTTAATCATTTGAATAAACTGCCCAGAGAAAGATTGAATTTCATGCAAATTGAATTGAAATAAAAAGTGCAATCTATGTCAAAAGCGTTTAAAATTTTCACTCCTTAACGTGAGACTCAAATTGTGACCAATTTGTAATTGTCTAAAACTCTTTTTCAAAACTTTATCACGCATCTACACTGAGGAACAATAATGCTATCATTTTTTTTAAATAAGAAAGTAGAGTAATTTAATTTGCAATAAAGTGCAGTTGGACAGTACTAAAACTAATTTACTTTATTGATTTTTTACTGATATTTGTTCTTAATACAGCATGCGACAGATTGAAGTAAATACAATTTTGTTTTACATTATGATTGAACGGAAGTGGTTACATGCATTAGAAAAGAATCTCAATCATCCATGTAATATATGAAATACTAGTAGAATATATTTTTTTGCAACTTGGAGTTTTAACCGACAAAAAACTTAAAATAGGCATTATTTAATATAAACAGATGGATACGAGGATGCACATAGGAATGGGACAAAGAAAAGGTGTTCTGTTGGATATAAAGGTAAGTTCATATATATTATCCAATATTATAATTATACATTCTCTGAATTCAGTATCATTAAACGTTAATATAATTTTCAAATGACATTAATGTTTACATTGAGGCATATTAGTTTTCTCCTTTGAATTGTTTTCCATTTGTGATTTTGGGGCCTTTATAGCTGACTATGCGGTATGGGCTTTGTTCATTGTTGAAGGCCAGACGGTGATCTATAGCTGTTGATTTATGTGTCATTTGATCTCTTGTGGAGAGTTATCTTTTATGCAATCATACCACATCTTCTATTTTATAGCATTCATTTTTCGATTTTTATGTATAAACCAGTCTGTTTTAGACGACAAAAGTCTGTGTATTCCGTGAACAGACGGATGCAATTTTTTTTCTCATTTTCTCTTAAATAAAAGCAACAGTACAATACCATTGTTTAAAAGCCATAAATCGATTAACAGAAAACAAATCCTGGTTACAAACTAAAACCGAGGAGAAACCCATTAACTATAAGAGGAAAACAACGGAACAACATAAACACTAAACTACAACAAAAACAAACGCCAACATATATAGAAACGCACTATTTGATAACAGCTGCCATCTTCTGGACTTGGTACATGACATTTTAAGAAAAAATGTGGATTGAACCTGGTTGTATGGCTAGCCAAACCTTCCACTTATATGGCAATGTTAAAATTTATATATCGCTAAAATGACAACACTACGTAACAGGAATACAAACGTAAGAACACTCTGCATAGCGAAATGCATAAATAAATAATATAATAGCACATTACAACATGTAAACCACTGAAATCTGTATCCAGGTTAAAAAGAGGTTCAGCTGTATAGTGTAAAAATATTGTCAAAAAGATTAGGATCAAATGTTTGTAAACATAACATATATTAAATGTTAAGAAGTTCAATGTTATATTAACGTGTGGCTTGTTCTTTTTCAATGCATGCATGCACATATTAAATACATATTTACAGTTTTGTTCTACCTGAAAAATTAAACATATATCCATAGCAGAAAAATGACCTGACAACTCTAAAAGAACGTGAAGATGTATGCAGTAAAATTTATAAATTAAACCTTTTTTATGATTTTTCATGTATGACTTCAAGATATTTATATTAATAATTGGAAATTTTTATTGAATATTTGATTTTTATCAGTTTAAAACTGTCAAGAGAAAGATTGAATTTCATGCTAACTGAATTAAAATATAATGAGAAATGTACGCCAAAAGTATTTAAAAATTTTTCTCCGTAAGGTGAATCTCAAATTTTGATCGATTTATAATTGTCTAAATCTTTTCTTCTACGCGTCTGGCGCAAATATAAAATTTCAATCCTGGTATCTATGATGAGTTTAAATACTTTGAACGACAAAATTATTTTATGTCTACCTGTGCGAATTTCAAACGCGCGATTTTACGCCAGTACTTAAAACCTTCCATCCTTTATGGGTGGATTTTAAATAGATAAATATAATCGTATAATAATAAAGCAAAATGAGGATGTAAAATTTGATGTATGTCTTTTTGTGCTTCTTCGTTACATTTGTTTGTTTTTAAGTGATTAAGATGATAACACAATGTTGACTGCTGTACCCCAATTTTTGACATTTCTACCTATTGCGTCTTTTTGTTTTGTTCAGGCATCGTTGTCAATATAATGGAATTGGATGCGACTGTCATACAAGTGAGAGGTTTAGCTGGCTATAAAACCAGTTTCAATCCACCACTTTCTACATAAGAAAATGCCTGTACCAAGTCAGGAATATGACAGTTGTTATCCATTCATTCGATGTGTTTCTGAGCTTTTGATTTTGCCATTTGATTAGGGACTTTCCTTTTTGAATTTTCCTCGGAGTTCAGTATTTTTGTGATTTTACTTTTTATCTATAATCAAAACTTTATCACGAATCTACGCTGAGGAACAATGATGCTATTATTTACTAAAGTACTGTAGAACATTAACGAAATAAAAAGACATCATTGCAGATTATCTGACGAAAAACGCATCAGCATCTTGTTGATGTTAGTTTTTGTTACAATCAAAGTGTTTTTACACTGTTTGTCTGGCAGTAATTAATTACTATATCATGTTCACCGAAAATGGTAAAAATGAACACAAAAAATAAAATAAAATCATGTTCTGCACAAATTAAATGTTGATCCCAAGTTGAGCAAATACAATCTTTATCTATACTCTTCTGATAAGCAGAAATCATTTCCAGTGAAAACAAACGTAAACATCTCTGACTGAAAATGGAATAACCGGTATTGGTGAAACTAGTTGTTAAATTCTATGTCACGTGGCCTCATTGGCAATCAAACCACATCTTTTCATCTTTTTATGATTTTTCATGTATGACTTCAAGATATTTATATTAATAATTGGTAATTTTTATTGAATATTTGATTTTTATCAGTTTAAAACTGTCAAGAGAAAGATTGAATTTCATGCTAACTGAATTAAAATATAATGAGAAATGTACGCCAAAAGTATTTAAAAATTTATCTCCGTAAGGTGAATCTCAAATTTTGATCGATTTATAATTGTCTAAATCTTTTCTTCTACGCGTCTGGCGCAAATATAAAATTTCAATCCTGGTATCTATGATGAGTTTAAATACTTTGAACGACATAATTATTTTATGTCTACCTGTGCGAATTTCAAACGCGCGATTTTACGCCAGTACTTAAAACCTTCCATCCTTTATGGGTGGATTTTAAATAGATAAATATAATCGTATAATAATAAAACAAAATGAGGATGTAAAATTTGATGTATGTCTTTTTGTGCTTCTTCGTTACATTTGTTTGTTTTTAAGTGATTAAGATGATAACACAATGTTGACTGCTGTACCCCAATTTTTTACATTTCTACCTATTGTGTCTTTTTGTTTTGTTCACGCATCGTTGTCAATATAATGGAATTGGATGCGACTGTCATACAAGTGAGAGGTTTAGCTGGCTATAAAACCAGTTTCAATCCACCACTTTGTACATAAGAAAATGCCTGTACCAAGTCAGGAATATGACAGTTGTTATCCATTCATTCGATGTGTTTCTGAGCTTTTGATTTTGCCATTTGATTAGGGACTTTCCTTTTTGAATTTTCCTCGGAGTTCAGTATTTTTGTGATTATACTTTTTATCTATAATCAAAATTTTATCACGAATCTACGCTGAGGAACAATGATGCTATTATTTATAAATAAGAAAGAAGAGTAATTTTATTTGCAATAAAGTACAATCGGACAGTACTACAACTAATTTACTTTACTGCCATATTTGTTCTGACATTTGTTCTTAATATAGCGTGCAACAATTGGAAGTAAATAAAATCGTAACTGATCATCAAAAGTGTTTCTTAAGCCAGAAGCAAAGTATTGACTAACATGAGCAATTACTCGATACGGGAATACAGCACGAAAACGCACTCATCACAGAGAAACGCACAAATAAATTATATAATAGTGGTTACAACATGTAAACCGCAGAATAACAACGAACATTTTCCATTTACGACAGCACATGAAATAAAATTACAATGACATATTTTGTGACGAATATATAATCTTGAAATTCATACAATTTTGTTTACAATACTAGTCGAAACAATTATTATGATTACAACGGTATTGAAATGCTTTTTTAAATAAATGCTGTGAAGACGTCATAATTATTTGGACTAACACAATACTTTATCCATGGAAAATGGAATTTAACTCGACTATACTGACAAAGAAGATATATGTGAAATGTATCGAAAATACAGAAGTAGGACCACAACTTAAGTGAAACGATAAGACAGAACACAATATCCAACACACAACAGAATCATCATAACTAAGAACGTAAAAGTTAAATGTATTAATACAGAGACGTATAACAATGCAAATTCACACTCGGCAAAACAGTCAAATTCGGATATAGGTCAAATAAAATCCAATTGAGAAGTTATTTCGGAAGTATTTCAAATTTTGCTGCAAATGCGTAAGAGTTAAAGCCCTAATACACATTTGTAAGACTTAATTTTTAAAAATACGAATATTGATAGAACATTGATACGATTAACATCGTATGAAAATTTAAGAATTTGTTGGGATTTTATATGTTCTTTTTATACAAACTTCTTGTTTGTATACCACACGCATATAGTTTCTTTGTTTACTTTAAATCATTTTTATACAAATTTTTTTAAATGTAATTAATCATCTAAGTGCACATCACACCAAAGCTGAAATTGATAAAACTTTTTTCTGTTGTGTTCCTTAATATAGGCTTGTTATTAATAATCATCCAGAGACAGGAACATTTATCATTACTTATGCAAGAGCAACATTCTCATTTAGGTTTTCTATTTGACAAATGAGAAAAAGCGGGAGGCAGTCATATAAAAAGAATCTCTCTCGGTAACGTATTAGACATGAGAAATCAAGGAATGACACACATATGAACTAAAAGTAAAACGGAAAAAAATACAGAAACTTCATAAGCAATGATTAGAATTTTACCATCATATACCCTAAACAAATCATGAGTACACACATGTGCCACGTTTGACTCTTTTTTATTAATCACTCATCGGAAGGGTCATTTATGTCATATTAGGCTAATCGCTAGCGTAGAACAAATTTCATTTTTCAGGGTTCGATCTGGTATGTTGTATCTTGCTGTTTGCCTTACCTTTCTCCATGTTCCTCTTTGGTAAGTACAAAGCTAATACAATACACATTTTCAGAATATAACTATCCATATAGTTAAGTCTGCTCGTGGTCTTGACGTATTGATGTATTGTTTAGTTTCTAAAAAAACATAAATGTATCAGGTGAAAGCAGGCTCTGGACTGGCTTTCAGTAGTGTCGAGTTTTATAAGATTGTTACTTATGTTGTTTTTTTTAGTTAGCATATATATGTGTTCAGTTTAATGTTATACTGTCACAAATATCTCCATGGTAAGGTGGAGCTCAGTGTTCAATAACATGCTTAACTCTGCATCCTTCTGTATATACCTGTACCAAGTTTAAATTTGGAGCCGGTAATCCAGTTGTTGTTGTTAGTTGGTGTTGGCACTGACTCAAAGAAACATTGGGCGGAAAACAAAAAATAATGATAGGGGAACAAAATAGAGGAAATCTAATATATGACACGACATTCGTTCTGGTGACATAAAAAAGAAACTGAGTCAAATTAATGTGTCACCGACTTGTCGTTCGGGTGAAATACGAAAAACAAAATGACAATAACAATATGTCGCCCCAATCCGTCCTGTATTTCATAGATAATAATAAAGAAAGGGAAAGAAAAACGGAGGGAAAGCAATATTTCTCCCGTCTATCGTTCGGGTGACATAATAAGAATAGGGAAAAAGTAACGAAGGAAAAGCAATGTGTCACAAAACATTCTTTCGGAGTGACATGATATTAATTGAAATCCCCATGTGTATTCTGAAAATTAATTTCTAACTTTAATAGTATTCATCAGATATATTTATCATTCAGTACTAAAGTACTGTAGAACATTAACGAAATAAAAAGACATCATTGCAGATTATCCGACGAAAAACGCATCAGCATCTTGTTGATGTTAGTTTTTGTTACAATCAAAGTGTTTTTACACTGTTTGTCTGACAATAATTAATTACTATATCATGTTCACCGAAAATGGTAAAAATGAACACAAAAAATAAAATAAAATCATGTTCTGCACAAATTAAATGTTGATCCCAAGTTGAGCAAATACAATCTTTATCTATACTCTTCTGATAAGCAGAAATCATTTCCAGTGAAAACAAACGTAAACATCTCTGACTGAAAATGGAATAACCGGTATTGGTGAAACTAGTTGTTAAATTCTATGTCACGTGGCCTCATTGGCAATCAAACCACATCTTTTCATTTTTCTATAACCTAGTGAGCTTACACGTTGAAAATCATTCAATGCACAGGTCACCGTTGTACAAACCAAGATAGTTCTTCAGATATTAGCATGGTTTTCAACAACAACAAAAAAGAGAACACTTTATTTATATTCAATCAAAATTTATATTTACAGGAGCTACGTCCCTACAAGCCTGTCCAGCGAAGGGGTATATTCCTATTTACTTGCTTGTTGCCTCAATATTCGACTGTCTCGGATTTATGGCAAATTGTCCATATTTGGGATGGGTAATCTTCAATAATCGACAACCGGATGGACTGCAAAAGTGTAAAGTCAACCCTTTAGTGTGGATCCTTAACGGTTTCCTACTATCTTGGTTCATTGCTGGTTTGTTTGTATTTTAGTTTCTTTTGTAACAGTATACATAAAAATTTAAATCACAAAAATACTGAACTCCGAGAAAAATTAAAAAAGGAAAGTCCCTAATCAAATGGCAAAATCAAAAGCTCAAACATATCAAACGAATGGATAGCAACTGTCATATTCCTGACTTGGTACAGGCATTTTCTAATGTAGCTAACTAAACCTCTTACTTGCATGACAGTCGCATCAAATTCAATTATATTGACAACGATGCGTAAATAAAACAAACAGACACAATAGGTAAAACTTTCATATAAACAGGTTTGCAAATATTTTGATCAACAGTACACATATAAACAGATTTGCAAACATTTTGAGCAACAGTTTACATATACAATTTTGCAAAAATTTTGAGCAACGGTATACATATAAACAAAACAGTTTTACAAACATTTTGAGCAAAAGTTTACATATGTTAAACATTTTTGAAAGCATTTTGAGCAATAGTATACATATAAACAATTTTAAAACAATTTTGAAAACATTTTGAGCAATAGTATACAGATTTGCATTTTTTTTAGTAACAGTATACATATGAACAGTTTTGCAAATTTTTTTAGCAACAGTATACATAAGAACAGTTTTGCAAACATTTTGAGCAAAAGTATACATATGAACAATTTTGCAAACATTTTGAGCAATGAAGGCAACAGTAGTAAACCTCTGTTCGAGCAACTTACCCCTTTACTATGAACTTGATTTGACTGTTAAGAACATACCTGCAAGTCTTTGAAAAGCTCAGAGATTGAAAATACCATTTGGAGTTCATTATCTGATGTTGATTATTCATAGTAGGTTATACCTTTGTTTTGATGTTTGATTTTTGTTCGTTTTGAATGATCACCAACTTCTCATTGGATTTGGCATTCCAACTGTTTTGATTCAAGCGATACTGATGAGTCTGATGCAGACGAAACGCATGTCTGGCGAAGTTGATCACGATCAAAATATTGGTATATGCAATGAGATTTTGTACCACTGGCCACTTTAACTTTTGGATATTGATAGATTGATTGATTGATTGTGGTGTAACGCCACTTTTCAGCACTATTAGTTATTTTGTGTCTATCTGATGTTGTTGCTGGATGAAGCCGCATTGCCCGGAAAGAACCACCGACCTTCGACACGAAAACTGAAAATCTACGTCAAAAAAATATTTGAACATGTTGATTGAGAAGGTTTATGGAATTTGTGAATAAAGGGAGATGTTGGTTCATTAATGAAACAGTAACATAACACATCAAATATGGATAAAAATTACATTGATAAACATCGATAGATGGTAAAAATGTAGGCAAGTGCATATAAGTAGAATACTAGTATCACAATTTAAAAAAAAGAAAACTCAAAGTCTGGACAATTTATGAAATGATTTAACAAAGACTAAAAGGATCTACTATAAAAAAATCTTCACAGATATGTACAAAGAGAAATTAACAAACACAATCATTAATTCGAAAGGGTCTTGCCTTCGGACCGGTGCATTTAAATAAATGGAATAAAAGTGGCATAAGAGAGGAAATATAAGTGAATTAGTTTTAAAATTACTTTAATCATCTTGAATTTTGATCAACATCTTTTTCCTAAAATCAAGATTAAAAAGTAAAATTACAAAAATACTGAACTCCGAGGAAAATTTAAAACGGAAAGTCCCTAATCAAATGGCAAAATCAAAAGCCCAAACACATCAAACGAATGAATAACATTAAAAGAGGTCCTTGCACAACAAAAGAAAAATCAAATTGGTCAATGTTAAACAAGGTATACAATGTAAAATACATTAGAAATCGTTATGGTTAGTAATAGAATTGAAAATATGGATTTGTATATATATTTGTCAGATAGTATAGTTTGGTATGATTCATAATATTTCATTTAACATAAGCAAAAGTCATTTTGATTTCAATCATTTGGTATATTGTTTAAAATAGATAAGTATTGTTTGTTTGTAAACATTTCTAATGGAAAAGAAGTTTCGTGAAGTCGTATGTAAATTGGTATTTTATGATTTAAAACATATGTAATGTAACGTTGTCAATCTTAGCAGGTCTATGAATCTGTCACATTTTTTTCTAGGTAATGTTTGGGTCTACGGAACTTATGGTCACTTTTCTGTGGATGCAGCACATGCAGACTATTGTGATCCAACGGTTTATTGGTTTTCCTTCTTGGCGGTCACGTCGATCAACATTCTTTTTGTTGTTGTTTGTATAATCATTTGCGCTACAAGATGCATTGCATATCATAAATCTGACTGATTCAATTCAGTTCAATCATTTTGTTCACATACAATAAATTGTTATTTTGAGTGTTTTGTATCAATTTGCAATATACCTCTTTGAATACATCATTGATAAATATATATTAAATGATAATTATGCTCATTTATAAACACAAACTTGCATTTCCTATAAATTAATTGATGTAGCAGAAATGAAGGCATATTGGATACACGTTAGGCAATGATTTTGTATCCGTTAATCGCCCTAAACTAGCCACTATGGCCACTGGCAAGATATAATTAAACAAACGATAAGCTTAACTCTGACTAATGACCATATTAAGTGGGGTAAAATCTGCATACGTATTCAAATCTGAATAACTCCGTTAGTCTTAGAACATTGTTTACCTGCTGTATTTGTGAATAGGTTGAAATAAACAAATTATTAGCTCTGCAGATTTACCTTTAAGGAATCGTCGAAATCGCAAGATTTGAAAGTTATGAATGTATAACAGGAGGGTGTTTTACGTTTTGTATTTTCTGTGTTATTGTCCACATATTTATCCATGTTTTCCCCTGTCTGCATAAAAAGTTCAAATCTAGAACCCGAGTCTCTGATTCTTCATAGTTGGCTTTGCAGAACTTAACACACGCAAATTTTCATAGTTTATTAGTGAGTTATAGTTTGACAAATATCACCAATTTTATAAAGATAAAAGTATGCAATTGTAAAGCAATTAAAATTCACAGAAATGTAATAATATTCAATTTGTCATTCTAACTTTTGTCTAGACGCACCTCATTGCATAACAATGTCACATTTCTCTATGGTTTAGACAATGAGGTATGTGCAAGACCAAAAAGCTCTTCACAAAAAGCTAATGAAGAGAGGTCTTTAAAGACCAAGTGGCTTTATGATAAAAGCTCAGTACAAATATTTATCTCAGAACTTATCTAACAAACGCTATACGAATAGAAACACTACATAACTAAATAATAAGTTACAAATTTAAAAACATCTGAGAATATTTTTATTGTACTTATATGTAATGTTTATACAAACAGCCATTCCAGCTTACATTAATTAATGTGATAATAAAGATGCTGACATTCTGGATATATTTAAATAACATACACAGACCACTTGTTATATCTTGAGGTTAATTCCCCTGACAATTTGAAGTTACAACTGGAATCTCACTAGGAGGCACACTAATCGTTTCTTAATCAGATACATGTTATAAATAATCTCTGTTGGTGAGGAAATACAGATTATGATACCAGATCTTATAAAAAATTAATTACACAACAACTAGTACATTATCTAAAGATCAGTGAGGCCAGACTCCTCCCACTGAATGATTGATGTACCCTATCTGTGTGTAAAGTCATATGCATGGTCTTTGTATAATCACTTTCTTGTTTCATAGCAGTCTTGACTAGTTGATATAGTTTTACAGTGCTATTATTTAATTTATTATTATTTCAACTTTACAACGGGACTTCATTTTTTTTAACTTGAACATTGTCACAATGTGGCTGCATTGTTTACTGAACCGCTACCATACTGATTTGTAATACTTTGTACATGAACTTTGTTTTTTTTTCACCTTCGGATCTTATTAACCTATACACAGCTGAGTTATCAATGTTTAAAAACTTGTATAGTACATGTACACATTTTTATGCCCCTCCTACGATAGTAGTAGGGTATTATGTTTTCTGGTCTTTGCGTCCGTTCGTTTGTCCGTCCATGCGTCCGTTCGTCCGTCTGTCCCGCTTCAGGTTAAAGTTTTTGGTCAAGGTAGTTTTTGATGAAGTTGATGTCCAATCAACTTGAAACTTAGTACACATGTTCCCTATGGTATGATCTTTTTAATTTTAATGCCAAGTTAGAGTTTTTACCCCAATTTCACGGTCTACTGAACATAGAAAATGATAGTGCGAGTGGGGCATCCGTGTACTTTGGACACATTCTTCTTTACTTACTAGTATTTGATTTGGAATTTTAGTGTGTAAAGTAACATAAGCTTATCCACCTTAAATAAACGGTTATCAAATGTATGTTTACATGGAAATCATAAACTTTTAGTAAGCTCTATTTTTTCAACATTCTTCATAATATGTCTCATATGGCATATTTCTTTTTTTTTGCTTGTACATTAAGTCTCTCCTGAATATTGTTTGTTCAGAAATGTACAATGTCCCAAGTCAGGAGCCTCTGGTCTTTGTTAGTCTTGTATTTTTTTTTAAATTCTAGTTCATTTATATGTTTCGGAGTTTAGTGTTACGTTCATTTTCACTGAACTAGTACACAGTTTTGTTTAGGGGCCGGCTGAAGCCCGTCTCTGGGTGCGGGATTTTTCTCGCTGTGTTGAAGACCCATTGGTGGCCTTGGGCTGTTTTGTGCTCTTTGGTCGGGTTGTTGTCTCTTTGACACATTTCCCATTTCAATTCTCAATTTTATATTCTTCAAAAAAGTAAAATAACAAAAATACCAAACTCCAAGGAAAATCAAAAACGGAAAGTCCTTTATAAAATGGCAAAATATCAAACACATAAAACGAATGGAAAACAACTGTCGTGTTCCTGACTTGGTACAGGCATTTCCTTATGTAGAAAATTGTGGATTGATCCTGGTTTTATAGATAGCTAAACATCTCACTTGTATGACAGTCGCATAGAATTCCATTATATTTACAACAATGTGTGAGCAAAACAAACAAACATAATAGGTAAAAATGCAAAAATTGTGGTACAACAGTCAACATTATGTTATAACCTTAATCAATTTAAAAACAACATAACCATTGTGATGGTTATGAGCACATAATGCATGGTTTAGAATGGCGATCTTTACATTTATCAATAAAATACCTATACTATTGTACAGATACTGTTAAAGAAAGATTGTAGAAAAGACAAAAATTATTGATCTGCAATGTGAGCCTACTCCTTGTCAAAATCTATTAAATCATCCAAAAATCAGAGAGAAAACAATGCATTTTTTTAAAAATTTATTTAAGACACAAACCCGTCTCAAATTTCATTTTTACTACAGGAAACCCTCCAAACATAATCTTGAAAACCTCAATTCGGAGGCTTTATATACCAAGAAAACTTAACATTTGCAAATTTATCATGAGGTCAAGGTAAGATGAAACCTGTCAGGCAGACAGGTACACGTTTTCTCCCCGAGGGTATTACCAGCCCAGTAGTCTGACATGAAATATTATTGAAAGTTTTTTTTATAAAAACAATTGGTTTTTTCTACCCCATGATAGAGATTGTTTTAGCCTTATTTGGCACAACTTCTTGGAATTATCGTTTTTCAATGCTCTTCAACTTTGTATTTGATTTTGTCTTCCAACTGTTTTAATTCGAGCTTAAGAATCTAATAGAGAAGAAACGCGCGTCTGTCGTACAAAATTATAAGCCCGGAAACACATGGAAATTGATAATAAGTTATAAACCATCCAAATCTCGGATAAGCTATGAAATTCCGATAATAACGCCAGATGATATTAATACTTTATAATAATAAAATAGCATTATTTATCTATTGGTGTTATATTAATATTTTTGTAAACGACTAACAATATGCAGTTTATCTACCTGAAGATTCCTTGAACTTCTGGTACTAATGAAACAGGGACCTTCACGAAGATAGCTGTGTCAGTGGAGTAATTGTTAACAGCGTGTGCAATACTGTTGTTGAATAAAAAAAAATAATTATAAGCCTGACATCTATGATGAGATTTTACAATGATACCTGACATCAAATATATTTGGCTTATTGCTTATAAAATCTGAGAGACAGACCAATCCATAAAACCGTCACATTGACTAGTGAACCATACTTATTAGGCCAAGGTCATAAAGAACTCTTCAGACAGAAATATCAACCTTACAATCATTTCACACACCAAATATAGTTGACAGAAAAAAATATCTGAGATGATGACTAGATTGAGAAAATTTTACCTTGATCATTGATACATGAAATGAGGTCAAGGTCAGACAAACCCTGTCTGACAAACATGTAGACCTGAAAATGATCCCAAATCTGTATACAATGTATTAATCATTCAGGACTGAGGTCTTGTACCTTCTGATATATAAAGCTTTATACAGATTAACCACTGCTTCACAATAAGCATCCCTATGTCTTACAAAAAAACAATCAGCCATCAGCCATACTGGAAATAAACCGTTAACACAGAGAGATGTCTCGCCGGTATGTAATTTGATAGAAAAATTTTGATATTTAAAACAGCAACACTCTGCAATGCACAATTTTTAAAAGTAAATAGACCATGACTGAAGATGTAGGGCCATATGATTTCTGTAGAAAAAATTCGTAAGGGTTCCGCGGAACCCAGTGTCTCGCCTACTTTTGCTGTTAGTCGCAGGCTCAACAAAAATGGGGGGAAAATTATCAAAAATTTTCCTCTAGATACTATCTTTTGATTGAAAGAAGTTCTGTTCAAGTTTGGTAAAAATCCATGAATATAATAAATGTTTCAAAACTTTTAACTGCAGACTGTACCTAATGTTTACTGGAATAAAACTATTTTATAAGTCCATTTATAAGTTATATACGTAAAAACAGGAAATAAATTTTTACAAAATTTCCTTCTAGATACTAGCCTTTGGTCATAAACAAGCTTCTGTCAAAGTTTGGTACAAATCCAGGATAGTTTAAGAAAGTAATTAAAATTTTGAAAGCTTTAACCACAGAGTGAATGTAATGTTAACTGGCAGAAAAACTAAGTCCATTTATAAGTAAAATACGGATAATCAGGATTTTTTTTTTAACAAAATTTACTTTTGAATACTATCGTATGATCACAAACAAACTTCTGTCCAAGTGTGGTACAAATCCAGGATAGTTTAAGAAAGTTATTAAAATTTGAAAAAAAAATTTAACCACAGAGTGAATGTAATGTCAACGGGCAGAAAAACTAAGTCCATTTATGAGTAAAATACGGATAAACAGGATTTATTTTTTTTACAAAATTTACTTCTGAATACTATCTTATGATCATAAACAAGCTTCTGTCCAAGTTTGGTTGAAATGCAGGATAGTTTAAGAAAGTTATTAAAATTTCAAAAACTTTAACCACAGAGTGAATATTTGTGGACGCCGCCGACGACGACGGAATGTGGGATAGCTATGTCTCGCTTTTGCGACAAAAGTCGCAGGCTCGACAATAAAACATACCAATACTTATACAGCTGAATACAAAATGTCATTGACATATCATAAGTGGTTCCCTTAAACTGACTTAATCACAAACTTAAACATGTAAACATGTAAAAGATTCAAAGTCAATAGACCATGACCTAAGAAGGGGCGGACGGGGATGGCAATTACAAACTAACAAACTTTAACATGTAAACTATGTAAAAGTGTCAAAAGTCAATAGTACATGATTGAGGGGGCAGGGCCAAATATTCTCCATGGAAATGAGATTCCTAATGCTAATACAAACGCATACCAAATATCAATAACTTACCATAAGTGGTTTATTATTTTACCTTATTGCGGTTTTAAATATCAGATCATAGATTAAAAAGCTTAGCTTACATAGGTTTCAATTTGAGTATAATGACTGTCAATTAAACAAAAAATCAACTAAATTAATCATTTATGTAATGATATAGATAAGCAATGGGCTGAAAATAAATGCAATTCCAGCCATTCATATTCAGGATAAACTTTTTCTGACTGAATCTTAAGTATGATAGCAAAGCAAATACTTAATATCAAATCATGCTCAAAAAGATTCGATAGTAACATTTTATAATCATTGAGAAAAATATATACCCAGACCTGTATCATATTTTGAAATTGTCCATGTTGGAAGTAAAAAATTATTCTTTTTATTGCTTACAATGCATTTCTTTGTAAAAATCAAATTGAATTAAAATATTTGCTCTGGTTCGAACATGAAATAAATTTAACTGCTTAAAGACTATTTTTATTCTAATAAAATATACTTGTCCCAGGACAATCCATCTCTGCTTTTTCTTTTAAGAACCCTATTAACATGCCAATGGTAGGTAGAATTTGAATCTTGAACAAATGCCGAAGGCTAATTTCTACCCTACTTTCATTTTGGCCAAATCACTACTTTCAACAATAAATTTTTCCAACATGATTTACTTATTTAAATATATATGTAACTGAGCGGACCACTTAAATAGTAAACTTTTCAAAGAAAACAGTAGTCAGAAAACTCTGGAAGAAATACCCCATATAATAATTTGGAACTATAGTCCTAGACCACAAACAAAAGGAATCAATTGTGGTTTGAAACCAAAATGCTACCAATTGATTAAGAAATCTGTAGGAGCCTCCAACAAAAGTTCCATTGAAAAAAGTTTGCATTACTTCATCATTTTATTTTGCTATTGTAAATTGTTGGACATTGTTTGTTGACCTCCAAGTGTTTTTTTCTTGTTTTGTTTGCATTGTTGGTTTGACTTTTCATTGAGGTAAACTTCATTACTCCTTTTGTTCATAAATGGTGCCACTTATGAGTCTATGTAAACAAAACGTGCGTCTGGCATACCAATTTATAAGTTTAGTATCCTTGATCAGTTTGTATATCCATTTAGTCTACATTTTCTTTATCATAACAAAAAATTAAAACAGTTAATGATACATTTTATTAATATGTTAGAAACACTGAATGAGGACGGACACTTTCAGAGACAGACAATTAAAATTCAATTACAGATAATTTTTGTATACTTAGAGACAGATCTAAATAATAAGCGTAAAACTACACAAGATATTTGCAGAAAATATACAGATCAGCTTTTTGATGTACTTTAAAAAATTCTTATATATTTTAAGAATATGGTTAATAAGAAGATACTTAAGTCAATATATCAAAGAAAAATAATGATGCCTTAAATTTAATAGACATTAAAACATTTTATGGAATTATTTATCATAAGTAGCCCATACAAGTCAATGATTTGCAATATTATGAAAGTCCAGAAATATTACAGTTAGTCAAAAGGTCAAGCTGAAAAAGTTGAGATAGTTGAGATAGTTTCTGTCAAGATCTTAAAGTTCCATATTTACATCCATCAATATATAATTGTAAGCAATCTATTAATACATCAAATTACTATTGGGATTGTCTGATATTTTATGTAAATCATGGCAATACATTGATCAACAAAATTTCCCTAGATACGATATGATAAAAGTTTAATAGCATTTTCAAGTCATTGATGAATATAACATAACCATAAACTAATCAAGTAAAATATTTTTTTAATACATGTAATACATTTCATATTGAAATATAAATGCACCATACTTTTATAATTTTCATGGGTTATAAATCTTTGTTGTTTTTCCGATCGGTTGAAACTTTAATCACGACTGTGACGTCTTAAAAATAAAAATCTTTATGCTAATGACCATACCTGGACCTCAATATACTTTTCAAATATTTTTTTAAACTTTGTTTGTTAGTTGTCAAATGTTGTGTCACAATATCAACATCATTGAACAGATTATGTTGATATCCAACACAGCTCTGAGATTCAACATGGTTTGGATTTCTCAATATTTTAATGTCCACAAAAATATACCAAAATTCATTTGTGAACAGTTTTTAGGTTTATATGAGTTCAATCGTGAAAAGTTGAAAGTTTTTCAAGATTTCCATTCCTCAGTATCGGTGAAGCTATGGTTAATATTACAGTTTATACTCTACAATGAAAGTGTCCATTAAATAACAAACATCATGCAATTACTATGTAACTATGTACACATAAAGTGTATTAAATATCAGGAATAAATATTGCACATAAACACATTGGATTTGAAGTAGGAATATCGCAAAAAAAAATCAAAATATCAATAAAATAAAGATATCATTAATTTGTTTTGACCATATGTATCTGTATGAGGGTCTACAAAAGGGTCATCATTTCTGCTTTCTTGAATCTTTTATGTTATTTTTTTTCTATTCTTTACTTTTTATTCATTATTGTGTATTCTTTATATCTTAGCTACCATTATTCTCCATTCTGTAATCTCTATCTAGACTTGAACTGATTTTCATTAAACTCACATAAAGTCTTTCCTGATGTATTTTAGAAAAAAGTATTGAGGATTACAATAAAAAAACATCTTTCTTTCTAAACCTCATCATTTAACATGAATACAATGTAAATAATCAAAGTTTCATTTTGTGGATTTTTCATTTATATAGACAACAGAAAACTTTCTTTCTAAACATTATCATTTAACATGAATACAATGTAAATAATCAAAGTTTCATTTTATGGATTTTTCATTTATATAGACAACAGAAAACAATGAGGTATTCAAAGCGGAAATAAAAATCAACAACAACATATTAAGCATATAGTACAGTATTAAACCAATTTTTTGCAAGAGGTATTTCACATTATAAGTTTAAAAATGTTTAAGGATGAAATCAACTCTGCTTAATTTAGATGTACAGACAACCAACATCAGCAATTTGGTTTCTTCACAAAAAAAAAGGTTTTAAAAGCCATTCAAACATTCATTACAGAAATTATCATTTGTAGGTTAATTGCTGAAAACGTGTATGACTCATGCTGTATAAGTAACTCACAACTTAAAATAAAAATGCTAAATAAATAAAATTTAATTAAACCACAACACGGAATGGAAAACCACATATCTATCACAGAAAACAGCAAAAAGCATCTTGCTTGGTTACAAACTGCAAATCAAACCAAAAACAGGACTGAGTTGCATAAATATCGTTTGATTTGTCAATGATTAAATTTAAACAACATCTGACTTCAATTGAAGTTTGTGCAAACCAGTCCACTATATTAGCAGAAAATAAAAAAATACTGGTTTATTCTAATATTGTTTACTACATTTTTCAGTGTGGCTTGTCATGACCAACAAGCATGAGTGCTCTATCTAGATATCCTCCCTAAGCCTTGTTTTCTTTAATTCAAGAAGACCAAATCATTCATGATCTACTCAGACTTTCAAAAACAACATTTGTTTAAGGAGGTATTTTTTTAAACTTTTAAAATCATTAAAGAGTTTGTAAAAGTCAGTTTTAACAATATTTTTTCAAGCATTCACATGAAAAAGAAGTTATATAATCTGTGTTACTCAGAAGCTTTGAATATATTTATGAAAAAGCTGATGCAAACGCATCAGTTATTTCTTTAGAGTATTCTCCCTAGCACTAGGTCAATCTCCTGTAATTGAGGTTACACATTTTCGACCTACACAGTGTCTTACAAATGCTATTTTAACCGTAAACATGCAAAAATATTTTTCCCAGCCTTGAATTAACATTTAAGATCTAATATGCCGATTTTTTCAATCTCTATTGTTGAAATAGATAAATAAATAAAAATTTACTTAAAAGCAACACCAGTGAAGACAAGATTTCATAACTTAATAATGCAGAATGTGTATTTACCTATTAAACATACCCATATATATGAATATAAACTATACAATTATCAAGATAATTGGTACAATAAATACTTCTATAATCACTAAATAAGATGATTTATGAATTAAAATACAATTCTTATTTATCATTGTCATTGAAAATACATATTAGAGTTTTGAACTTATATTAGTCCTGTGCATATATTAAATAGTGTTATCATATATACAACATGCAAAAATGCAGCAGAAAAGTTATGTAATAAATATCATACCTATACTCATTTTAAAAACTTTTAAAAAAGTTTTAAAGTTTATCTTTTCTTGAGCCATTTTGTCATATCCTTTATTTTAATTTTGATTTACATATTCTTGTTAATTACAGGGCTTTACAGTTCTGAGACACTTAGGCTGGCATTCAAGAGCCTTTTTACATGTACAATATTTGTACCGAGTAGTAAAATATATAATTTATTGGTACAAGCTTTTGAAAGGGAAAGAAAGCGATGCTTCCTTTCACTAAAATGCCATTGCTTAGCAATTGTCTAAATTCTGAGCATGCAATTAGATATAAATATTCACTAATATGTAACTTAAGGTATAAATGATATTTTATATGCTCAGCTATCATAAATATAACATATACAAATATTCAGTTTACATATGTTTACAAATGTTTCTATATATATTTAAAAAAAATCTTTTTAAAATCAATTTTAGAAAGATATTTAGAGCACTTGTTTTAATCTAAATTTAGCTCAATTAATCTTACTTTGACTTTATCAAATAAATAAAAAAGAACAGATATGGTGTATGTATTCATGACAGTAAATGTAAAAAAAACACTTGTAAAATTTTTATCAAAGATGCAAGCTTGCTATGGTTTCTCTAAGCTACATTTGGCTCAATTAAGCAAAATTTGGGTCAAACAAAACTTGCTCATTGCTGTTGGAACCTACCAATTACTACCAACTATAAACATCTTATGCAAATATTGAAAACAAAATAACAGGATGGCTTAAGTAAATTGTATTAAAAAAAAATTGTTATTAGATAAATTGAAATATTTTCTTCAATTTTTAAATTTTCAAGTCAATTTTCCCTCCGTATTTTCTAGTATGGTTCAGAATCATCTCATCCCTATTTATATATCATATATGAATAATTGATTCTTTTAGAGCATTTATTCAAAACCATGCAAGTAAAACCTTTGATCAACTTCCTTTCTTACTTTGTTTGGATGTTTGCTCAAGCCTTGTAATTAAGATTGACACATGGAGACAATGGACAGGTGGAGTTAGTTAGTCTGTTTACAATTTTACAAGATGTCATTGGATAGTTAAAGATATTCATTGTCCAATCAAATCATTGCATATTGCAAAACCCATCCTTATCCATTGTCCTCAGATGTCAATCTTTATTGCAATGCATGAGCAAACATCCTTACAAAGTTGGGAAGCAAATCATGCAATCTTTGAAAAAGCATGCGATTGTATAATTGCTCTAAACTAAATCAAATCCTCATTTGTGTTCAAATGGAAAACAAGAAAACAGAAATGATATATTGATTAAAAGCAATAGAAAAAATGAATTTTAATATACAGCATTCAATACAACAAGGTTTAAAAGTTATAACAAAGCTTTAAAACTTAGTTTAAAAAATACATAAAATGTGGAAGACTTCATAATTGCATATAGATGCTATCATCGTTGTTACATTTAATAAGACTGAAGAAGATAGACCGTGGTTCTAAAAAAATGTTCACAACCATTGTATATTTGATTTTGCTGAAAAATGCATTATCTCAAGTCATAAAACTTTTGAGTACAATTATCATACTCAGAAAACATCCAATCAAAATACTAGATTTGGTGTTTCGACCATAATTTTTGTATGCTGAGTACTGAGTAGAGTTTTATGACGGAGAGCCCATTTGGTTCAAATACTTATAATAAAAAAAAACATCCATGGGTTACAGAAGATAACTAGTTTTTAGTTTTTTATATCAGGTTTAAATATTCATAATATGTGGAATTTTTTATCTCCATAAGTAATATTAAACAATGATCTACATTCTTTTCAGAAATAATAACCTCTTTGTCATAATTAAATACAACATAAGCCATGCTTTTTGGGGTAAAAACAATTTTTCATCAGACTTTAAATATTCATAAAATATGGAATTTTTTATCAACAGAATTAAAATCTAACAATGGTCTATCTTCTTGTCAGAACAAAAAACCTCATTGGCAAGATAATTAATGGCATGATTTTTTGCAAATACAACAAAATAAAAATAATTCAATTAAAATTTCCTAAACACATGTATAAATGTCATACCTGCCATTTAAATGACATTTTACACATAAATTTTTTCATCAGAAGAAGCGAAAACTTTTATTGTAAATGTTACATTTTAAAGTATGTGAGTGTTTGCATGTTCTACAAACAGATGAATTAAAATCAATACTAATGAGCTGATTATATCTCCTTTGTTTTCATTGGTTGATAAAAACATGACAGTCACTAATGAAACAAACTGATGTATAAATAATTAAAAGCATGCCAGATTGTTGATGAAATATTTGAAAATGGAAACAGTGATTTATTATGTGATAAAGCCTATTTGGAATGCTATTTAAATTAAAAACAAAAAAGCTTTCAGGGTATCCTTGATATCCATGCATTTCCGGGAATTAACAGATAAATGCAATTGTCAATACCATGAATGATATTTTCAAATACAAAATGCCCACGAAAATGGTATCAATTCATATTTTTAAACATATCGATAGAAAGTATTTCATTTACTTTAATATATATATATATATATTTATTCCTATTTCCATCTGCATCCAACATTTGTCCAATGAAATTTTAATTTTATGAATAATTGACACATACAAAGATCTATATTAAATTCATTTTGGGCTGTTTCCTATTTTTATATTGTAAGGTTTAAGTGTGACGTTCATTTTCCTGAACTGGTACCCATTTTTGTTTGCGGGCCAGCTGAAGCCCGCCTCCAGGTGCAGGATTTTCTCGCTGTGTTGAAGACCCATTAATATTGGTGGCCTTGGGATGTTGTCTGCAGATTGTTTGTGTTGTTGTTTCTTTGACACATTCCCTGTTTCCATTCTCAATTCTATGTTCCATAATTTATTGGATGGGGGATGGGAGACACTCAAATTAATTAAGTAATGGTTGTTGAATTTTCCTTAGAACTTTGTAAGCATTCTAAGCAGGAAGTCAAGGTATTACCAAGGCCCCCCATGAGTTTAGTTCTGGAACAGCCCATAGACCATTTAGAACCCCTGAACATTTTTAAAAGGCAGAGCACTTCGGTACCTATTACCTTTGACAAATACAAATGATTGTCTTTAAACAAATATTTTTAAAAACAAAGTAATGAAAAATGAAACACTACTTGAATCTGTTTTTCTTTCTTATCATCTTACTACTTATTGGTTTTTCAATGCAAGATCAATTAGAAATTTTAAGTGAATATTACATTATCAATAAATTAGTCTAAAAAGTTAAAACATGTCTTTTAATTTTATAATTTACAAGTTGAAACCAATATCATTCAAATCAATAGTTTTGACCCTCATATGGCGATACTGTACAAGCAGACATTTGCACTAGAGTTTTAATTTCATTTATATCATGAACAGATATTATCCATTAAAAACTTAACTTATAATCAACCAATACAAAACATCTCTTTCTTAAACTGGTATTGTAGCCATGAAAAATTAACCATCACGAAATCAATTTTTTGAGGTAAAATCTAGAATGTTTAGTACCACACAAATAAGTTCAAAAGTAGTTGAAAAAATAAAATTTTAGATCTTTTATATTAATTTGCTTTCGAGTAAATTCTTATTTTAAATTCAATGATTTCCTATATTCTTATTTTAAATTTGACATTTCCTATGAACACCAAAAAAGATGTCAACACTATGCCAAAGCAGTCAGTGAGACATTTTTTTTTATAATGATAGAATAATATCAACTAACTAGATATTAAAAGCAGATAAAGTCACAATAAATGCCAGTTCATGGTACACAATAATTAGCAATTTCAATTTTTCGCCAATAACCAGATACAATCATTTATGTTTAGAAGGGAGCCAAACATTTTAGTTTAATAATATTAATATTAAATACAGGGCTAACTTATCCCTCTATACATCTAAAAGATATTTCAATCTTAAAATTCACAATATTTGGAATTCAAAACAAAATGCTAGCAATATAATTGTATCGTTGCTTGAAACACAAACGTCAGCATACAATTTATAAATGTCTAGTATCATGATGCTGTATGCTTGAGTTCTGTTTGTTCTTCTTTGTTCTTTTTACTTTCCTGTATGGTAGCAAATTGCTGCACACCAGATCTAGGGTGAGACCAGGTCGTAATCTGTGTTAAATGGCTGAAATATAATATGTACAATTTCATATTATTTTTCAAATACTAAAATAAATGATGCAGAGTGGTTACATGCACAAATACAAAAATTAAATGCATTGTGAAAAGAATAACTACCGTACTAAATATAAAAGGTTAACAAGAATATCTGTCCAAAGGACACCATGCCCTGCTCGTACTATCGTATGTTGATGTTCAGTGAGCCATGAAATCAGGGCAAAAATTGTAATTCTTTGAATAATTCAAAGAAAAGTTCAACTTCACAACGAACAACTGTTTTTTCTTTCACGCTACCAAAATTTCAAAGTTAATTACGGTAACCCAAAAATCTTAACCAGTGAATGTACTTAGTAAACTTTAAAATTTTTATGTTCAGTGAACATCAGGTTTAAACCTTACTAAAATAAATAACTCTTTTAACAACTAACTACTAAGATGATCTGAGGGATATAACAAGTAATATAAAAGAATTTCACACAGACATTCACAAGTATTTGAACAGAGTACTCAAGTATTGACTTCAAATAAAACCGTATAATTTGCCCTCTCAGAATCTAATGAATTCTAGGTAAAATGTTCAAAACCGTACACAAAAACATTGTGATTGGTTTACAACATCCTAACAACAACATCCTAAACAATAGGAATTCAACCAATTCCAATGACATGACATAATTTTCATTTTGGGTGTAAACAATGAAATTACCTACAATCCTTTAGAATTTGAAATATCAAATTACCACTTGTACTTACTTTAGGTAATACTTCATACCATCAGCAGTATAGGCTTCTTCCCATCCATATGGTAAAGCTGGAACACAGAGTTGATGACCATTTGTAAATTAGCTATTGTGAACTTTTGCTTAAATATTGCTTTATGGAAAGAAATACATTTCTTAAAATTTTTATTTTCATTTCAGCTTAATTGATTTTTTAAACATCTAATAAACAGCACCTTTAATTTATGTGTTCTTTTTTTTGGAAACTCAACATACAATTGTGTTTATGTGTTTAAAATCATATATAAAAGCAAGCAAATATAAAATCATAGCCAAAAGCAGTACATATACGAAGCGTTAAAATTGGCCCTAAGATTTTTATGTTTTTTTTAATCCTGCCATGTTAACTTTATGTAAATTTACTGAATACAAAATGCTGAATTATTCTAAACACTGGGGTTTTTCTATTTCCAGGTATAAACTGTTTTAGCTGTATTTGGCACAACTTTTCCAAATTTTTGTTTTTTAAATGCCCTACAACTTTCTATTTGATTTGGTCTTCCAACTGTTTTAATTTGAGCGTCATTGATGAGTCGTATGTAGACAAAAACCACATCAGGGAAACAAAATTATAAAGCCTTGTATATTTAATGAGATTTTTTAGAGATCTAGAGGTTTTATACGTATTTGTGCTTTACTTACGATCAGCTTCAATAATAGATCTAACAGCACAAACAACTTCTTTGGCTTCAGCAGCAATTGTCTTTGGTGATAACTTTTTATGTTTACTCAGATAAGCGGGTGGTTTGTTTCCTCTGGCGACTTCACCTTGTTGTCTATAAATTGATAAAATATATCTATCGATAATTATGCTTATATGTACTGTAAATTCAGAATTTAATGCATGCATTTATCACTGCAAGCCTTTGACCTTTGGCAAACATGCAAAATCTAATTAATGCAATTTCAAAAGTTTTACGATGGAAAATCACTACTAAACAAGAAATGATTGTAACAGGATGCTGTTACGAAGTCTCCCAAACGAAGCTCCCATAATTCGTAAGTCCCAGGGTCGACTGACATTGGGCAAAGTCCAGTGAAAATTGGTTTGGTCCAGTAAAGTTATATGCATTAATGATGCCTGGGGACTAACCCTGTATATCATTCAAATCATCTTGGCATAACAAACCAGAATATATATGGTTTAGGGGTGGGGATCTCGACCCTTTACAAGATATTAGAACTTTCTCAAATGGCAGGGGGTCGGGATAACCCCTGGGGACTAACCCTGTATATCATTCAAACCATCTTAACATGACAAACCAGAATATATATGGTTTAGGGGTGGGGATCTTGGCCACTTACAAAAATATTAGAACTTTCTTAAATGGCAGGCGGTAGGGGTGACCCCTGGGGACTAACCCTGTATTTCATTTGATGTGCTTTATCATGACAAACCAGAATATATATGGTATAGGTGTGGGGATCTCGACCATTTACAAGATATTAGAACTTTTTCAAATGGCAGGGGGTCGGGATGACCCCTGGGGACTAACCCTGTATATCATTCAAACCATCTTCGCATGACAAACCAGAATATATATGGTTTAGGGGTGGTGATCTTGACCGCTTACAAGATATTTGACCTTTCTTAAATGGCAGGGGGTGGGGTGACCCCTGGGGACTAACCCTGTATTTCATTTAATGTGCTTTATCATGACAAACCAGAATATATATGGTTTAGGGGTGGGGATCTCGACCATTTACAAGATATTAGAACTTTTTCAAATGGCAGGGGGTCGGGATGACCCCTGGGGACTAACCCTGTATATCATTCAAACCATCTTCGCATGACAAACCAGAATATATATGGTTTAGGGGTGGTGATCTTGACCGCTTACAAGATATTTGACCTTTCTTAAATGGCAGGGGGTGGGGTGACCCCTGGGGACTAACCCTGTATTTCATTTAATGTGCTTTATCATGACAAACCAGAATATATATGGTTTAGGGGTGGGGATCTCGACCATTTACAAGATATTAGACCTTTCTCAAATGGCAGGGGGTCGGGATGACCCCTGGGGACTAACCTTGTATATCATTCAAACCATCTTAGCATGACAAACCAGAATATATATGGTTTAGGGGTGGGGATCTTGACCACTTACAAGATATAAGAACTTTCTTAAATGGCAGGGGGTGGGGGTGGGGGTGACCCCTGGGGACTAACCACGTATTTCATTTAATGTGCTTTATCATTTAGAACATTTTCAAGTAAAAAGATTGTGTCTATCACAAACGCTTTTCAATTTATAATCATTTGAAAATTTAAAAAAATAAAATCCCATAGGGTTCTATAGTAAAACCCTCCTTTCTTTTTGCCCCTCAAAGTACCCCTTTATAAACCCCATTGCACAAACAAAACCCTGATTGCACCACTAGACATGTTAGTCTAACATATTGTGAAACCCTAAGTTAATCTGACAAGCAGTTTTGGAGAACGGGTGGGGACATGTTCAAATTTAAAAGCGGCGGAAGAAGAAGAAGAATAAGAACTAGATTTGCCATTGCAAGCAATAGCCGATTTCACCCTTCCCCCATTGCCACTAGATTGCAGCCAGTTTTAAAATTTTAAACAGTGAATGCACATATATACTGATGGCTATACATCTTTCTGTAATTTTTTAGAACATTTAGCGGATTTACAAATTAAACGCATAATTTTTCCTTTTTTGCCTTGTTTTCATGGTAACTGCAGCCATTTTGGAAATTCCAACGCCAATTGCCACTTCTACACATGACAGTCAACATAATTGTGAAGTTTCATTAAGTTTGAAGCATTCTGAAATTTTTGAAATTTTTGCTCCTGTATCCATGGTAACATAATAGTTCCAATGATTGTCAAAATCATTCAAACCTGTATATAATGGACAACTATATTGTATAAAAATTTGATGATTTTAAGTTAAAGCATACCAAAATTATTCAACAAATCCTGAAGTTTTTGGAGCATTTTGACCTTTTTGCATTGTTTCCATGGTAACAGCAGCCATTTTGGAAATTCTAACTCCAAATGCCACATCTTCCAATGTTGCTCATCATTACTGTGAAGTTTCATAAAGTTTGGAGCATTTTGATTTTTTTGAAATTTTTTATGTAGTTTCCATGGCAACATAGTAACTCCAATGATTGCCAAAATCATCCAACACCAGTATATAGTGGGCACCTACATTGTATTAAAATATAATGATTCTTTCTAAGTTTAAGCATATCCAAATAGTTCAACAAAACCAATAAAATGCTTCGCTGGGGCGCAGCTTGATACGACCGCAGAGGTCGAACCCTGAACAGTTGGGGCAAGTATGGACACAACATTCAAGCTTGATACAGCTCTGAATTTGGATTGTTATTAAATATTTGACACAGCATAGGTTTCTGACACAGAAAGAATGTGGTCTAAGAACTTGAATTTTTTTAATTTACCTATTATGGTCCAATGTCCAAAATCAAAATACATGGTTAGATTCAGCATATCAAAGAACCCCATATATTCAATTTTTGTTAAAATCAAACAAAGTTTAATTTTGGACCCCAACTTGGACAAACTTGAAAACTGGGCCCATAATCAAAAATCTAAACACATGTTTAGATTCAGCATATCAAAAAACCCCAAGAATTCAATTTTTGCTAAAATCAAACTAAGTTTAATTTTCGACCCTTTGGACCTTAATGTAGACCAATTTAAAAAACGGGACTTAAAATTAAAAATCTAAATACACGGTTAGATTTGGAATATCAAAGGACCCCAATAATTCAATTTTTGATGAAATCAAACAAAGTTCAATTTTGGACCCTTTTGACCTCAATATGAACCAATTTGATAGCGGGGCCCACAAATAAAAATTCTAAATTCATGGTTAGATTCAGCATATCAAAGAACCCCATATATTCAATTTTTGTTGAAATCAAAAAAAATTTAATTTTGGACCCCAACTTGGACAAACTTGAAAACTGGGCCCATAATCAAAAATCTAAAGACATGTTTAGATTCAGCATATCAAAGAACCCCTAGAATTCAATTTTTGTTAAAATCAAACTAAGTTTAATTTTGGACCCTTTGGACCTCAATGAAGACCAATTTAAAAAACGGGACCCAAATTAAAAATCTAAAAACACGGTTAGATTTGGCATATCAAAGAACCCCTATAATTCAATTTTCGATGAAATCAAACAAAGTTTAATTTTGGACCCTTTTGACCTCAATATGAACCAATTTGATAGCAGGGCCTACAAATAAAAAATCTAAATACATGGTTAGATTCAGCATATCAAAGAACCTCATATATTCAATTTTTGTTGAAATCAAACAAAGTTTAATTTTGGACCCCAATTTGGACCAACTTGAAAACTGGGCCCATAATCAAAAATCTAAATACATGTTTAGATTCAGCATATCAAAGTACCCCATATATTCAATTTTTGTTGAAATCAAACAAAGTTTAAATACTGGACCCTATCTTGGACCAACTTGAAAACTGGGCCCATAATCAAAAATCTAAACACATGTTTAGATTCAGCAAATCAAAGAACCCCAAGAATTCAATTTTTGTTAAAATCAAACTAAGTTTAATTTTGGACCCTTTGGACCTCAATGTAGACCAATTTAAAAAACAGGACCCAAAATTAAAAACCTAAATACACGGTTAGATTTGGAATATCAAAGAACCCCAATAATTCAATTTTAGATGAAATCAAACAAAGTTTAATTTTGGACCCTTTTGACCTCAATATGAACCAATTAGATAACGGGGTCCACAAATAAAAAATCTAAATACATGGTTAGATTCAGCATATCAAAGAACCCCATATATTCAATTTTTGTTGAAATCAAACAAAGTTTAATTTTGGACCCCAATTTGGACCAACTTGAAAACTGGGCCAAAAATCAAAAATCTAAATACATGTTTAGATTCAGCATATCAAAGAACCTCATATATTCAATTTTTGCTAAAATCAAACAAAGTTTAATTTTGGACCCTTTGGACATTAATGTAGACCAATTTGAAAACTGGACCCAAAATTAAAAATCTAAATACACTGTTAGATTCGGTATAACAAATAAATAAATGTGATCAAAGATTTTACAAATCTAATGCGCCATACTGTGCAATTAAAGATTACTTCTTGAAATTTTTCAATATTTGAAATTTGAAAAAAAAAAAATATTTGAAGAATAATTCTTTTTAATTTCTGAAATCTGAAATGAGAAAAAATTGGCCCCCCACAATTTCTTTTTATCCCCTTCCCCCAAAAAATTCTTTCCCTCAAGATATGGTCATAATCTCAATTCAAATTTCCAATGGAGTTGGCAACCATAATTACCCATTTAAATTTACCATAGTGCTAACTTAATCTATTTTATAATAGAATTAATAAAAATATAGTGTCAAATCTTTCATATGGATTTTTTTGTAAAAAAAAAAGATGAAAACATTTGCAGATATTTTTACTGGTCTTCCTTTATAAATATGCATTTCTTTAAACATAATTTAAAAGCAGTGTAAGGGAAGTAACCAAAACGTTGTATTTGGATTACCTCCCTTACACTGTTTTAGATTATCTTTATTGTTCATTAACCATTACTTTATACATAATTTAAAAGCAGTGTAAGGGAGATAATTTCAATGATGTATTTGATTTATCTCCCTTACACTGCTTTAAATTATGTTTTGTACTAAAGTATTTGTCCATTAACCAGGACAACCTTGTTTTTCCCCCTTTTTTGCCCCTAATTCCTAAACGGTTTGAGCCATAACCCCCCAAAGCAAATCCTAAC